TAAGCCACATGAAAATGCCATTTTTGTCTGAAAATGTCAAAATATGTGAAAAATTGAAATGTCAGAAACCTTGTGTAACTCAGCCTCGTGCAAGGCAGTAATCGGTTGAGTAGCAGTTTTAAATAAACAAGGAATGGTTTGAGATCAATAATCATTAAATATTAGGTAGCTTTGCTAGGCCTCCCAGAGAATGCAAAAAAGCATTTTTCAGACCACTGATCTTCTAGGTGGAAAGGTGAGACCAGCATCGTCCAAGAGTTAAGCAGGGGTGCCTGGACATCTGTAGGTCATTGTCAAGTGAGAGAGGCAGCACTGGGTGGACTGGAGTTCATGAAAAGATAAGGACGTGATTTCCGAAGGCAGACTCGAGCTCCTGCCAAGGATGGGAAGGATGTACATGGTTGGGCAGTGACAGGCAGTGGGGAGGATGGAACAGAGGTGGGACATGGCAGGGGTCCCAAAGAGGTGGGTTAAGAGTCAGCCCATTTGGTGTGTCGGAGGAGCAGAGGGTTGGAAATGAGCCCAGAGCTGCATGGTTTCTGTTGCCAGGCTGAGTAGACAGGATGTCACCTCGCCCGTGGTTTCTAGTACTGCATCCAGATCGTCCTGGGGCACATCCGTCAGGTTCCCCTGTCTGCTCTTGCCCAGTTGAGTCTGTACTTGTAGGAGCACAGCTTAGAAATTTATAACCAGCTGGTGAGGTTCGGAAACCACCGATGGGCCAATCTCTCAAGTGCGGATTGCAGCTTGTCAGCATTGGAGCCTCCTGGCAGCACTTGTTAGAAATGCAGATGACAGGGCTTTGCCCCAGAGCTGCTGAATCTGACTTTCTGGGAAGGGGGCTTGGCAAAGGACATGTTCAGCAAGTTTCTCAGGCTGTTTCTGGCGCACTGGAATGTGAGAGCCACCACAGTCGTCTGGGGAAGGCATCGCCCTCGGCTTGCTGTGCCTGGGCCATTAGGGCATAACCCTTGGGTGTGTGCTCTTCGTTACTGTACATCTGAGGTACCTTGAAAAACTGTTTTGATTAGAGCCACATGTGGGCTTGTTCCAGGAACTAGCCTGGACCAGTAAGCAAGGAATTCAAAAGTCGCCGTAAGAGTCAGCTGGACATCTAGCTGGTGGGCAAGGGTTCCAAGGCCAGGGAGAGAGAAGTGGGTCAGGGAGGAGAGGTGGATTAGCAGGGACGTTGCAGTAGACACTTGCTGCTCAGAAAATGTCAGTTTTCCCTCAGCAGCCCCTGGTCTCCTTCCCGTCGGGTCCAGGTTGGTAGGTCTACAATCTGTTACCCTGCTTCCCCAGCCAAGCACAGGCATGACCCAGGCTGGGCTGACAGACACTCTCTCTTGGGATGTGACTGTCCAGCAGAGGGACAGGTACTGATACCAGCTGTGGGCACGGCCCTTCCGTCCAGGCCTTCTTGCTGTGGGACTGTGGGGCTCCTCTTCGCTGGTCTCGAGCCGCCTTGGTTTCTGACCGTCTCCAAGTCCCTGTCTCTGGCTTGCAGTCAATTCTATGAGCTCCCAGTGGCTCTTCAGTGAAGGCCCTGTCGCTGAGTTGGCTGGAGTGGATTTCTGCCACACCAGAGAACCGGAAGTATCCGAGCCGGTGCTGGCGACCTCCACTGGGGCTGCAGCAGGAGGGCAGGACAGCGCCAGACCTGGAGGGGCTGCAGGAACAGCTCCAGAGACACCCTCTCTTCTCTGGGGAAGAGCTTGAACTAAGATTTGGAAGAAGATTGAGAAGGAATGCAGGCCAACTGGAAGCCAAAAGGACCGATGCGGAAAGTGAGGGCTCAGCACTGTCAGATGAGAACTGGACACGGTCAGAGAGAGAGAAGTGAGAGCTCTGCTCTGCTGGGTTCATCCATTGTTATATCTTTCTGTTTTGCTTTTTAAAAATTCTTTACTATAGTTCTTTTTGACTATTTTAGACGATCTTGGCGGAATGAAGAGTGGAGAGAGATGGGAGGTTTTGTCCATTCTGAGGCCAGCAGGGCTAGAGGAGTTGGTTGTCCAGGGACCCCAGTGGGGGATTTCAGACGTGATGAGAGCAGAGCTGTAGATTTACCTAGCGGAGCAGTGGTTGCTCAGTCGTGTCCCACTCTTTGCAGCTTCATGGACTGTAGCCAATCAGGTTCCTCCTCTGTCCATGGAATTTTCCAGGCAAGAATAGTGGAGCGAGTTGGCATTTCCTTCTCCAGGGGATCTTCCTAACCTGGGGATCGAACCTACATCTCTTACATCTCCTGCATTGGCAGTTGGATTCTTTACCACTCGCACCACCTGGGAAGCCCAGAACAGTAGTACATGGTCTGGATTGAGTGGGAAGGAGCAGGACAGAAAGGAAGTAGAATATGAGAGCTGATTTTGAGATGTCCTTCTTTGGCAAGGCTGAGAGTTGCCTAAGTCTGTCCTCTCCTCCCAGCCTGGTAGCATGAAGCAGGCAGTTTATAGCTTCTAGCAGACAGTTCCATTCCTCCTCGTGGTCCCATGGTCCGAAGCAGGCTCAAGGACGGTGCTTGACTGATTGTCTTTATTTTTTTAAGTTGTGCCAGCTCTTGGCTGTGGGAGGTGGGATCTTGGTTGCAGCATGTGAGATCTAGTTCTCTGACCAGAGATGGAACCCAGGCTCCCTGCACTGTGAGTGCAGAGTCTTAGCCAGTAGACCACCAGGGAGGTCCCTGGTTATTGTCTTTGAACTCTTACTCAGCATTGCACTGTATAGGCAGCATCACCCAGGTCAGAGGCTTCATCTGAGCTTTTAAAGCTTCCCTGTGCAGTGGCCTTGCTGGGAAAGCCTTGTCACTCACTGTGAGTGATGTAGGATGCCTCACTGTTTTCTCTTTAGAACAGCAGATTCCCAAGTCAAAAAAAAAAAAAAAAACGATATGTTATTATACCACTGAATTAAAGCTGGGCAACTTGACATGTCTTAATATATATCCCACTCTATTAGTTACACTCCAAAAGTGCAAACGTAGTCAAGCGAATTACCACATTCTGGAAAACAGTTGGACACAGCTGGTACCCAGCAGTTTCTGCTCATGGTGCATTAAAGAGCAGTGCTCAGCCAGTCTTTCTCTAAAAGGCTGGCAGTGAGGATTTGAACATTTGCAGTCCATGGGGGGGATGGTCTCTTTGGCAGTGACCCAGCTGTGCCACTGTCGGGGAGAGGCAGGGGGAAGAAGCCAGAGACAAGACATTAGCAGGTCTATGTTTTATGCATCCTGATAAAACATTGCTATGGACACTGACATTTGAATTTCCTATGATTATCTTGTGTCATGAAATAACACACAGAAACCATCTTCAGCTCGCAGGCCACTCAGAAGTATGCACTGGCTGGACTTGGCCTGCTGGTTTGCCTGCCCCCTGCTCTGAGCAGCGCTGTCCAGTAGAGCTTGCAGTGTGATGGAATGTTCATGTCTACATCTCTATTGAATAGTTGCTATTCGTGTGTGGCTCTTGAGCACTTGAAATGCAGCCAGTGCAACTGAGGAACTGAGTCTTTATTATTATGCACTTAAAAAAATTCTTTTTGAATTTATTTTTGAAAGTATTTATTTATTTGGCTCTGCTGGGTCTTCATTGCTCCTCAGGCTTTTCTCTAGTTTTAGCGAGCTGGGACAACTCTCTGGCTGTGGTGTGTGGCTTTCTCATTGCCAGGGACTCCTCTTGTTTCAGAGCGTGGGCTCTGAGGTACGCAGGCTTCAGTGGTTTCTGGGCTCTGCACAGGCTCAGTAGTTCTGGCTCCTGGGCTAGGTTGCTCCGAGGCATGTGAGGTCTTCCTGGTTCAGGGATTGAACCGGTGTCTCCTGCTCTCGCAGGCAGATTCTTATCCACTGAGCTACCAGGGAAGCCCAATATTATGCACTTTTAATATCAGTTCAATTTTAAGCAGCCCCACGTGGCTAGCGGCTTGAGCCTTGTTCACACAGCAGAGCACTGGAATTCTAGTGTGTTCACACAATGGGAAATCATTACAGCGACAACCAGTGTTTGTGGAGAGCTTTCTTTACGCTGGGCAATGTTTTAAGCCCTTAGGTTTTAACTCACTAGCTTCTAACTGTGTGTGCCAGTGAGAGTGAATGAACTCTGTAACTGCAGGTGCCAGCAAAGATAAATACATCTCAGATGCACACGGCTGGAAAAGGTGAAGTGAAAAATCAAGTCACAAGAATCGCACGTCACAGACACAATTAAACAATACTGTTCAGGGATATACATTAAGAAAAAAAGGAAACTGAGGCTGGGTGACCTTCTGCTTTCTCCAGCGAGGCCTCACCGAGTCTGGGGCAAGGTACCTCTGACCCCCTCGTTTCTGCTTTCTAGTGGGTTGTAGGGAGAGGTGAGCAGGATTTATACTGACTCGGAAGAACAGGTGTTTCAGGAAGTGAAAACCATGATCACGGTAGCATCGCTACAGTTAGCACTGAATCTGGTTTCAGTTCACATTTAAGCACATGTTCCATGAGAAGGTCTCTGTATGGATATGGGTTGCCTTGGTTGGGTTCCTTAGATGAGAAAACATTGTTATTTATTCAGGCCAAGAGCAAAGAGGTTGAAATAAAACCCTTCCCTCCCACTGTTTCCTTAAGTCCAGTGATGAGTTGAATGTTACCAGTATCCAGCCACCAAGAACTTGGCTTCAAAATGAAAATCTGAAAACTAGAAAACAGCAGGTAGACTGACTAGACACTGTTATCATCCAAGTATTCCTGAAAAGAGAGAGCCCCATGGCACCTGTGGGTGTGAGGAGACTTTACAGCAGTATTTCCTCCCTAGGCTAGTCCTCTGTGGTAAGTGGGATGCAAAGAGACATTTTGTTCTTGAAGGTTCAGTGTTGCTCTGACAATTTTAGCCACTGGCTGCTGAGTGCATTGTTAAATGATGTCAAGCTTTTCTATGTGATGTGTGCATCTCTGACTTTTTTTTCTTATTGGTTCGAGTTCGTTCTTTCCTGCATCACTGACATGGGTTTATCTTTTCTCCCTTCAGAGAGTTTTGAGGTGACAGTCACCAAAGAAGGTGATGAAGGGTTCTTTCTGCCCCTTTTATGAACATTAACCCACTAACTATGTTTATGGAATTGGGGATCAGCCCTCAAACAGAAGAAGCTGTCATGCTCCTTTTCCCCCTATTTATTCCCCTACTTTGTTTCTATTTTTTAAGTCTATTGATGGAAATTGTATGTAACCAAACCCTTGGTTAGAAATATCTGGAAATCAGACATCCATTTGAACTATATGGATAATCCTATTCTTCTTTGAAAAATTGGATCTGAGAGATTCACTATGTAACCATTTTCTGCTTGTTGTAATTTTGGAAGTTTTGTTTTTACGTGAAATATATTCTACACGCATCAGAATGTTTATGTGTGTTCTCCCCTGGGCCAGAATGGAGACCTACGCTTTAACTCCCAGTGAAGCTCATAAACGAACTTGAGTGCACTTCCACTCCCAGGCAGGCTTTTTCTTCAGGTCTGATAGGACACAGTCCAAAACCAAGGGCAGTCTAGCACATCCCTCCCCAGAATGGAGACAATATCTCAATCATAGATGATAGCTGTTGAAATGGATGCCTGAAAAGTTGGTATTTCTACCTTTTTCTCATTTAGTAGTTTGTTTTGATTCCCTAATTTTAGCCAGGCTCATTGCACAGGAAGACTTTTTTCTTAGATTTTTTTTTTTTTTTTTGGACAGACCTTCTGTAATTCTGGTGCTGAACCTATGCCTCACGCTTCTTCCTTTCTCAACACTTAACTGTGCCTTTTAGCCTCCTCTCTGGTCCAAATCAAAACCACTGCCCAGCCCTCCCAGGTCCCTGGGCAGCTCCTCTGTGTTACCAGGCCTTGGCTGTTTGCTAATGAAACTACTTTACCCCGGAGCTCTCCTAAGTACTCCTGTGAAATGCCTGTCTATATTTTCTCTTTCTCTCTTTTGTATTCCTGCATGAATGGATGCAAAGTTAAACAAGTTGCTTGGAAAGCCAGAACATGCTTCTTTTTACTAAAGCCCCCAGAACTTACCCCCTATAAAAGCACAAGCGCCCTCGCTTTGTCCACAGACCCTCCCCCCCAACCCCTGGCTGCCGAATTGTTGTTGTTTATTTTCTTTAGGGGAGGAGGGGAGTGCACCCTGGGTTTGTGTGACAGAAATCCTAACCCATGCCTCTTTGACTCCCCAGGTGAGATTTGTGGATTTAAGATTCACGGACAGAATGTGCCCTTTGATGCCGTGGTGGTGGATAAATCCACTGGCGAGGGGGTCATTCGCTCCACGGAGAAGCTGGACTGTGAGCTGCAGAAGGACTACACGTTCTCCATCCAGGCCTATGACTGTGGGAAGGGGCCAGACGGGGCCAACGTGAAAAAATCTCACAAGTGAGTGAGCGGGACAAAGAGTGTGTGTGTGTGTGTAAGGAAAACGGTGATTGTTGCCACTGTCCCAAAACTTACTGCTTTTGTTTGTTTGCTTTTAAAATATTTATTTATTTGGCTTTGCCAGGTCTTAGCTGTGGCATGCTAACCCTTAGTGTGGCATGTAAGATCTGGTTCCCTGACCAGGGATCGAACCCCAGCTCCCTGCATTGTGAGCGCAGAGTCTTAGCCACTGTACTGCCAAGGAAGTCCCATGACTTCCAGTTTTGAAACACAAGGCAGAGGATAGTTTCTGATTGTCCCCATTGAGATTGTCAGCTCTTTGAGGGCAGGAATCCTGTGTGTTTACCCTTGTGTATGGCTCCCAGCAAGTGTTCGATACTTGTTAGATGTTGAGTAAATGAATGAGTAATTTTATTCTACCAGGTACTCTAGTAAAAATACTAGGGCCTTCCATTGAAAATTCAACGATCCCACTTTTCCTGGAGGAAGATACTCTTTGTTATGTTTATATATTTTTTTCCATAAATTTTAATTTCCATAAATTTCAAATGCATCAAATGCATTTGAGCCGGTGAAAGAAAGCTTACTTCTGCCCCCAATCCTGGGTGTATTCACAGGCTTCATACCAGTTGAGAACTACTGGTGTCATGGAGACGATTGGACAAGACCTAGATTTAGTCTTTTTCTAGGGTCTTTTCTCCACCATTTACTAGTCCCTCGACATTAGGCAAATTTAATTTTTCCAAGTATCAGTTTCTACTTACTGTATTGGTTAAGGAAGGAAGCTCCGTGGGTGAGGTGATGTCACATATCCCATTGTGAGGGTCAGGCTGGACAGGTACCATTGGGATGGGGAGGGTCTTGGTGAATAGTTGGAGTGCTACCTGCCAGTGAATCATGCCTCATCCTTTTTATGAACTGCGATGTTACTGTTTTCCTTGACAAAGACCTTTTTTCAGTCAGGGACCTTGTCTGTCAGAAACATGCCCTGGTCAAGTAGCACTTGAGACTGATGGTTTTCAGTAGCTTGGTCTGATGATGCCTTAGTTTTCTTGTGCCCACACTGGGGAGATGGAATGTGGTTGATCAGGGAGGGCAAGTTGAAGTCTTTCATTTGTTGGTCAGTAGTGGATGATATCCCAGCAGTGACTTACTGATGCTCTCTATTCCTTATAAGCAGGATAAAACTTGTTTTAATGCTCATAATTTCCCATTTTCTATCTCTGCTTTTTACCTCTACTTCCTAATTTATTTTTTCCAGATTTTGTAACAAAATATTTTTAACTTCCTGGGTTGAGCACAAACAGATATCTGGTATATAGTTACCTCCCTTGTACGTGCCCTGCCCTACATTGTCAAGAAAATCCCAAGTCTCTCTGTTTTGTGTTTTTTGACTGTTCCATGCAGTGTACGGGATCTTAGTTCCCCAACCAGGGATTGAACCTGTGCTGCGTGCATTGAAAGCACAGAGTCTTAACCACTGAACCACCAGAGAAGTCTCTCAAGTCTCTTTATTTGCCAGCTGCCTTACTCGGTAGGACTTTGTAGCATCAACCCAAATTCCTGTTTTAACTTTCTGTTGTCTCCACGCTAAATTAAAAACAGTGAGCAGTTTAATTTTCATCTCCATCATAGAATTTAACAAAACAAGATATTGGAAAAAAAGGAAATTAAACCATAGGGCAGAAGTTTATTCTTGGGGTAAGAATACAAAAAAGCAAAACTGACAGCTTTTTTCCTCCCCCTTCTTCCAGAGCAACTGTCCATATTCAGGTGAACGACGTCAATGAATATGCGCCCGTGTTCAAGGAGAAGTCCTACAAAGCCACAGTGGTGGAGGGGAAGCAGTACGACAGCATCTTGAGGGTGGAGGCAGTGGACGCAGACTGCTCCCCCCAGTTCAGCCAAATCTGCAGCTATGAGATTGTCACCCCGGATGTGCCATTCACCGTCGACAAAGATGGTGAGAACCCAGAAGCGGGCGCATTCCTCCCCGAGGGGGACATGAGGCAGGCAGCCCCCTCTACACCAGTTGGCTTCAAGCCCAAACTTTGTCTGCACTTTAGTGAAACTCACAGTCGGTCCATTCAGGCTGCTCTCACCAAACACCACAAACACAAAGTAACGGACACTTGCTTCTCACAGTTCTGGAGGCTGGGAAGTCCAGGACAGAGCGCACGGCAGTTCAGTGTTGGTGAGGACCTGCTTCTCGTGCGTCCCCACATGGCAGGGAGAAAGCTGTAGTTTCTTTTGTAAGGACACTGATCCCATCTTGAGGGCTCCACCCTTGTGAGCTCACCCTAAAGCTCATCACCTCCCAACGGCCCCACCTCCTAATACATCACCATGAGAGTCACAATTGCAAGTGTAAGAATTTGGGAGGACACACACATTCAGTCCGTAGCAAGACCTAACTTGGTGTGTCTGTTTTACGCTTTAGTTTTTTTAATTGAAGTATAGTTGGTTTACATGTTGTGTTATTTTCAGGCGTACAGCACAGTGTCTCAGTTGTGTGTGTGTGTGGGGGGCGGGTCCATCCCAAGTGGCTTGTGGGGTCTTAGTTGCCTGACCAGGAACTGAACTCTTGCTCCGTGCAGAGAAGCTCAGAGTCCTAACCACTGGAACAACTGAGAATTCCCTACCTCATTGTAATTTTGATTTATATTTCTCTAATAGCCTTGTTGAGCATCTTTTCATACAGGTGCCTTTTGGCCATCTGTATGTCTTTGGAGAAATATCTGCTTAGATTACGTTTAAATTTTTACTCTGTTCCCTGAAAGCCCGTTTTCTGACACCAAAGTTTTGTGTTCTCTTTTAGGATGATCCTTTTTCTCCTTTCCCACCAAAATCTAATAAAAATCCACCGCCTAAGATGATTTTATCATCTCCCTACCTTTCAGCCAGCTTGCATCTGAACAAGACTGCTTCTCAATCCGCCTCATTTTGTGTTCTCCATCAGATTAGAATCTTCTGCCTCATCTTGAAAATGAAGTTGATACCTTACTGCCAGCCCCGCCTTAGTAATTGAACAGTATTAACTTAGTCTGGAGCTCAGCTTCTTTATTAGGTTATGGCTTCTTGATGATGCTGTGGTGTCTCCATTGTTAACACACAGTCCAGAATCTTCGATGAAATGATGGACATGATGCAAACACTTTGCAGATATCTGCACTCATGTTCAGAAAGCAGCTTCTCTCCTGCTTGGCGAGGGTAGGAAGTCTCTCTAACAAAGTAAATCTTTTAGTGAAAAGTATTTAATGCAGCTCCATCTCGTATTTAATATATGAAATACTTGGATTATTTTGTCTATTTATGCTTTTACACGTTATCTTGTTGTTTAGTCACTGAGTCGTGTCCGACTCTGACCCCATGGACTGTAGCCTGCCAAGCTCCTCTGTCTGTGGGATTTCCCAGGCAGGAACACTGGAGTGGGTTGCCATTCCCTTCTCCAGGGCATCTTCCCAACCCAGGAATCGAGCCTGTGTCTCCTTTACCACTGAGCCACTAGGGAAGCCCTTACATATTAAATCTTAAATATAAAATCAAATGCAGCTGTAAGAATAAATGGAGGCTGAATTCTGTAGACTCATTCTGCTGCTTAAACAGTCTTTCAAGGTGGATTTAGTGTGTGTTCAAGCTCAGGAAAGCCAAACTGAGTGTTAATTATCTGAAGCATCAGTTTATTTCTGTGTTAGTACTTCCAGGGCTGAAAGCATGTGCATTTTGTGTTTCAGCATAGGACAACAGAAGTAAAACACAATATGGGTTTGAAAATAATCTGGAAAAAAATGTATATATACGTGACTCACTTTGCTGTACACCGGAAACTGACACAGTATTGTACATCAGCTATACTTCAATTTAAAAAAAGTCAGGAGGAGGGAAACGGAATGGGTTTGGGTTCTCACTGTTGTTTTTCCCTTTGGAAGGTTACATAAAAAACACAGAGAAGCTGAACTATGCTAAAGAGCACCAGTACAAGCTGACTGTCACGGCCTATGACTGTGGGAAGAAAAGAGCGGCAGAAGATGTGTTGGTGAAGGTCAGCATCAAGCCCACCTGCACCCCTGGGTGGCAAGGTGAGCCTCTCTCTGCTGCTCTCGCACCTGCTCCGAAAGTCTGTCCACCATGGAGACCTAACAGGAGTGTTCCTCCTCTCCCCTCCACCCCACCCTCCCTGTGGGCCCGCACAGGATGGAACAACAGGGTGGAATATGAGCCTGGCACCGGCGCTCTGACACTCTTTCCGAATGTCCACCTGGAAACGTGTGATGAGTCGGTGGCCTCGGTGCAGGTGGTGGTGGAGCTGGAGACCAGCCATATCGGGAAGGGCTGTGACCGTGACACCTACTCCGAGAAGTCACTTCACCGGCTCTGCGGTAAGGAGGCGAGAGAGGAACCCCAGACCCCAGAAACCCGTTCAGAAGGGTGTGTGCATGTGCTACCTTAAGACCCACTGATTTCAAGCATGTCTTTCTCTAACATACGTTGGGAATCATCCAGATAAGGGTTCTGTAAGGAGTGTGCTTTAAATGAAATGAAATTATTAAGGACTAAAAAAAAAAAACTAGGTAATGTGATAGCTTTTGGCAAACGTGAAGTAGGAAATGAAAACTAAACCTGCATTGAATATATAATCTTTGTTACCCACAAACAAGGTGTGGAGCAGGTGGAACACAGAATGGTCACGAATTTGACCCAAGGCTTTTTCTCCATCTTCACCATCAGTCTGGATATTTTTCGGGTTTATCTAAGTCAGGTAGAGGAGAGGTATGGATACCTCTCAGGGAAAATGCTGAGGAAGAATCTTTCATGCAGCTGGTGGTAGAACACCAGTAACTTGTTTATGTTATGTTCTGGCCACGCTGCTCAGCACAGGGGATCTTAGTTCCTGGACCAGGGACTGAACCTGTGCCCGCTGCAGTGGAAGCATGGTGTGTTAACCACTGAATTACCAGGGAAGTCCCAGAACACCACTAACTTAAATTGCTTCTTGATGATCAGAAGGGCCTCTTGTGTTCCAGGAGCTGCTCAGTAAGAGCTTTGGAGGTAGTGTTTTCTGATGTTCACCTGTCTCTCACTAAGTGATAATGGACTTGAGCAACCAGTTTTCTTACATCATTGGAAATTGTCATATGAAGAAGAAGCAACAGGGAAAAAGTATATTCTCTGCTGGCTCATCCCTGTGCTGAATATACTTGGGTGTCTGACCATGAGTCCAAATTCTCATAATCAGGTACCTAAAAATGTGTAAGTGAAGAGGTTTGGAGTACTTTCTATTTTAAATTATGTAAGTATAATGTAAAAACCATGTTTTCTCATAATGCCATTCTTCTTCTTTTGCTTTTTATTTTTTAAAACTTTTTATTTTGTACTAGGATATAACCAGTTAACAAACAATGTTGTGATAGTTTCAGGTGAACAACAAAGGGACTCAGCCATACATATATCCGTATCCATTCTTCCCCAAACTCCCCTGCCCTCCAGGTCACCACATAGCATTGAGCAGTTCTCTGGGCTATACAGTAGGTCCTTGTTGGTTATCCACTTTAAAAATAGCATTGTTGACCCCAAACTTCCTGACTATCCCCCCCCACCTGCCCACCCAATTCATCACCCCTGGCAACCATAGGTTCCTTTTCTTAAGTCTGTGAGTCTGTATCTGTTTTGCAAGTACGTTCATTTGTATCATTTCTTTAAAGATTCCCTATATAAGGGGTGTCATAGGATAGTTCTCCTTCTCTCCTGACTTAACTTCACTCAGTACAATGGTCTCTTGCTTCATCCATATTGCTGCTGCCATTATTTGTATGATATTAAATAAACATTTTCTCAGCAGAACAGTTCAAAGGTAGAAAGAATTTCCTGTCCGAGTGCTTCCTATATACTAGGTACTTGCACATGTGTTATTTTATTTATCGTCCCATGAGGGCCACAAAGGCAGTGGAGTTATTCCTCATCTTTCCAGAGGAACTAGTTGAGACTGAGGGAGGCTGAGTCACTTCAGACTTTTAGGAAGAGCCTGAACTTGGATTTGGACTGAGATCGGATGATACTTGAAAGACCAGTCTATTCCAGCCTAGTCCTGCTGCTCCTAGGAATAGGAAAATCAAGGGCCCAGCAGCTGGGAGAGGTTGCAGAATTCTCTGTGGATGAATTAAAAAAAAATTGAGCCTGGCAATGTTTAACAACAGTTGTGAAAATATCTCATGTTCTCTGGCTTAGTATCCCGTTTCTAGGAATTTATCCTAAGGGAATAATCATGGAGACACACAGAGGTCCTCGTTGAGGTAAGGTTTATCACAGAAAGGAATTAGAGGCGACTCTGCGCACAGGAACAGATCAGTTAAATGTGCAAATTCTATACAATAAAGTGCTGTTCAGACATTTTAAATTGTGCTCTAGACTATGAATGGTCATATATGTAAGTACATAGTAGGACTCCATTTTTATAATATATTTTCATACACATTATACATATTTTAATAATACATATATATTCATAAAGAAAGGACTGGAAGTGTTTATACCCAATGTTAGCAGTGTATACAGTGGGGTGAAATCACAAGTAATGCTTCTTCTTTTTTTTTTTTTATTAAAGTATAGTTGCTGTACAACATAGTGATTCACAGGTTTTAAAAGTTAAAACTCCTCTTTTCCTTCTTTTTTTTTTTTGAAGATAATAACCATGGTTGTTATTTTTTAATCTTTTTAGTAATAAAAACCCTTAGACTTGAGGAAAAGAAAACTGAATTAGCAAACTATTTAACCATTAAGATAAATACAGTACCTTAATACATGTGCCCCAGTGTTCAGAGCAGCACTGTTTACAATAGTCAAGACATGGAAGCAACCTATGTGTCCATCAACTGATGAATGGATAAAGAGTGTGTGTGTGTGTGTGTGATATTACTTAGCCATGAAAAAGAATGAGATAATGCCATTTGCAGCAACATGGATGGACCTAGAGATTATCAAACTAAGTGAAGTAAGCCAGACAGAGAAAGATGAATGTCATATGATATCACTTATATGTGGAACCTAAGAAGAAAAAAAAAAAGATACAAATGAATTTCTTTACAAAATAGATGCATAAACGTAGAAAACAAACTTATGCTTTTCAAAGGGGAAGGGGCAGAGGATTGACATATACACACTCCTATTTATGAAAAAGAAACAACAAGGACCTACTATGTAGCACAGGGAACTCTACTTAATATCTTATACCAACCTATAGTGAAAAAGAATGTAAAAAAAGAATATGTATAACTGAATCACTTTGCTGTGTACCTCAAATTAGCACAACATTGTAAGTTAACTATGTTTCAATAGTAATTTTAAAATAAAGACTGTACCTCGTGGGACTTGAAATGCTTATCCCATTTGAGTTCATCACACAGTGCACAATAAGCATCACTGTATTGCTTCAGGTGCTGCGTCTGGCACGGCTGAGCTGCTGCCTTCCCCAGGAGGCTCCTGGAACTGGACCATCGGCCTTCCCACGGACAACGGCCATGACAGTGACCAGGTCTTCGAGTTCAATGGCACTCAGGCAGTGAGGGTCCCAGACGGCATCGTCTCTGTCAACCCCAAGGAGCCCTTTACGATCTCTGTGTGGATGAGGCATGGGCCATTTGGCAAGAAGAAGGAGACGATTCTTTGCAGCTCAGACAAAACAGGTAGGTGAGATTCGCTGTGAGGGACATCCTTGTAGTGGAGCCTGGAGCTGGCACCTTATTCTAACCCTAAAGGCTCCCACAGGCTGTTGGTGACACTCATGGTTCTCTGCTCAAGATCTGGCACTGGTATCTAGGCATTTGTTAGTTTTACTCAGTGGATCAGGCCCCACTTCTCAGTAAAGCCCAAGTGTGCGTGTTTGCATGCATGTGTGCATGCTAAGTCACTTCAGTCATGTCAACTCTGTGTGACCCTATGGACTGCAGCCCTCCAGGCTCCTTTGTCCGTGGGATTCTCCAGATACGAATACTAAAGTGGGTTGTGATGTCCTCATCCAGGGGATCTTCCCAACCCAGAGATTGAACCTGCAGCTCTTACATCTCCTGCATTTCCAGGCAGGTTCTTGACTGCTAGTGCCACCTGGGAAGCCCCAAACCCAAGTGTATCTGTTCCTAACCCTGCCTTGGCCCACCCTGGAGAGTTCATTTATGCTGGTAAAACTGTCTTCAAAATCCATTGAAGAAATAACAGCTTTTATTCCTCCTTTGGGTCTTAACACATTATTGACTGGAGACGCACGTTTTCAGAGAGTGATATGATTAACAGCACTGTGTTAAGTTGTTAGAACTTAAAATTGATCAGGGATTCACTGCACAACTTAACGATTGTTGTTATTCACATTTTGCTGTTAGGTTTTTGTTCCAACCTTGTGTATATTGTAAACACAAGTTTATTACCCTAAAATTTTTTTAAAATGATGCACAATGAAATTTTGAGTGAAAAAGAATTCTTTGGTGAATTTTATGCAGACACTTTCTCTAACTGTCCAAGTGACATGTATACTGGAGTCTCATAAGATGGTAGTTCTTCAGAATATAGTTATACTTCAGATGATGTGAATATTCAACTAACAAAAAGACAAAAAACCTTAGTGATTAATTCTCATGCAGAAAGTGAAAATGAAACTCATGGTGCTGGAGAAGATTTACAGATGTGTCAGGTGTAACTATTGAATGTAATAACCCACAAAGTGTTAGTGAATAACAGAATTAATTTTTGGCCGGCCAGAATAAAAATGGCTGGGCACAGGTGTTAGTTTCTGCAAAAGCTGCCTGGTGAGTAGTGAGTTAAGTTGATGGTTTACCAGTAGAATTTCTCTCTGCAGAGATGAACCGACACCATTACTCACTCTATGTCCACGGCTGCCGGCTGGTTTTCCTCCTCCGTCAGGATCCTTCAGAAGAGAAGAAATACAAACCTGCAGAGTTCCACTGGAAGCTGAGTCAGGTGAGGGAATGGAAAATTCACTGATAGTATTTTTTTTCAGAGAGAGTAGATGGGGCAATGAAACCTTGCACGGGACCAACTATTTATGGGCAGGGTGTATTGAAGGTTTTACAGTTTCTGTGTCTGTGGGTGATAGGATAGCACATTAAATCCATTGAACTCCTTCACGTTGAAAGACTTTGTTTTTTTACATGTGTGTATTTTGTACATAAAATATTAATACAGGCATACCTTATTTTATTGTACTTCTCAGATACTGGGTTTTTTGGGGGGGGCGCATACTCTGCAGCATGCAGGATCTTCGTTCCCCAACCAGGAACCAAACCCGTGCCCCCCTACCTCGGCACCTGCACTAAGAGCATGGAGTCTTAACCACTGGACTGCCCTGGAAGTCCTAAGCATTTCCAGATGATGGTTACAGTTTTTAGTAAAGTATTTTTAAATTGGGCTTCCCTGGTGGCTCAGATAGTAAAGAATCTGCCTGAAATACAGGAGACCTCGCTTTGATCCCAGGGTCAAGCAGGATCCCCTGGAGGAGGGCATGGCAACCCATTCCAGTATTTTTACCTGGAGAATTCCATCCTGGCAGTCTATAGTCCACGTGGTCGCAAAGAGTTGGACACGAGTAAGCGACTAACATACACACAGACACAGTAATTTTTTAGACTTAATGCAGTTGTACACTCAATAGACTATAGTATAGTGTAAACATAACTTTTTATACTTTGGGAAACCAAAAAAATTGATGTGACTCACTTTCTTGTGATATTTGATTCATTGCTGTGGTCTGGAGCCAAACCTGTGATATCTCCAAGGTGTGCCTATATAAAGAAATAGTATGTTTCAAATACAAAATGCTGTGTTATAATTTATTGAGATAAGCAGCACTTACTTAAAAATTGAGCTCCTTGTATTTGTTTATTCATTGACTAAGTGTTTGGCTCCCAAATTGTGCCCAGGACTCTGGATGCCTCAACAAATTTAGGGATACAATATTTTAAATTTTCAAGGAACCAGCAGTCTTGACATCTTTCAGACATCACATGAATTACTAGGTCTTGGGAATTTACAGTTTTGGCATTAGATCCTATTATACTTCTTGTGATGATGTCATATCTTTGCAAGGCTGATTTCCTAGAAGTTGCAGTGGTAAAAAAGCAAGTGTCATGTGCAAAGAATCAATGCATTATAAGAAACAAGGAGATGCTGTGAATTAAGAAAGCCTTTCCATTACATCACAGCAGGTTGTTTTGTCTCATGATTTAGAGTTGGTACAAGAAGGAAACCTTTGGCCTGGGCTTAAATTATCTGTCTCCTGGAGTTAGTAGATATGAGCAGATATAGTGTTACATGTGCTTATAGTTGGTGAAATATAACTGTCTGAAACTATTACAAGACAGATACATAAGAGCCCATATGAGAGGAAAAAAATGTGTGGTGGTAGAAAGATGAGGTCACTGTCCAGGTGACAGCATTCATCTCTTACTGTTGTCATTTTTATTTACCTAGATCATTTCTTTCTCGGACACCATTGTCATAAATTTTTTCGAGATACTAAGGTATCCAGAAAAAATTTTTTGCAGCGTAGGTAGACATTTTAGGTATAGTTCTGTTTTCGTAACAATAGTCTACATTTATATATTTAGTTTCTTCCTTTCTTTTAAATAAAAAAAATTTTGACTGCACCCCACGGCATGGGGGGATCTTAGTTCCCCAACCAGGGATCATACCCATGCCCCCTGCAGTGGAAGATTAGAGTCCTAACCACTGGACTGCCAGGGGTGTCCCAAGGTTTCGTTTCTTCTGTTTACATGTTTTTGAAACTTTATCATGGAAAATTTTAGACATAGGTAAAAGTGGACAGATTAGTATAAGGAACAATTGCACACACCCTTCAGTTGGGTTCAGCAATTATCAGCTCTTGGTCAGTCTTATTTCATTGTCACCTCCACTGTTAATAATTTTTCAATATCCATCCAGTATTCAGATTGTTTCATAGGTGTTTTTGTGTTTACAGTTTTGTTTGTTTGCATCAGGATCCAGTAAGAGGCCATACATTGGGATTTTCTGATAGACTTTTTGAGTTTATTTTAATCTATAGACTCTCCTCTTCTCCCTTGGAATTCGTTTGGTAATAAAATCAGGCTTTAGCTCAATAGGTTTCAAGAGTTTAGATTTGACTGGTTGCTTCCCTGTGGTATAATGTAACACACTCCTCTGTTGTCTCCTCCTTTTAAAGATGTTTATTTATCTGTCCATCTGTCTACCTCCTTACAGCTGTGTTAGGTGTTAGTTGCAGCCCCTGCGCTCTTTGTTGAGTGTGCGGGCTTCTCTCTAGTTGAGGCACGTGGGCTTAGTTGCTCCACCGCATGTGGGATCTTAGTTCCCTGACCAGGGATCGAACTTTCATCCCCTGCATTGGAAGGCAGATTCTTAACCGCTGGACCACCAAGGAAGTCCCTCCTCTCTTTTCTTTATACCCTGTACATTGGGAGTGGGCTCTAAAGACTTGATTAGAATGGGGTTTATTGTTTCTGATCTGTTTAAGCCCTGGGTCTGGTTTTTTCTCTTCATGATGTAAGCAGCCATCAGTGGTCAGTGTCACCATCCTTGTGGCATTTGTTTTCTGGTCACTTGGATGGTAGGAAGTGTGTTCCCAGGAAGGGCTCATGGGAACAGTTAATTCCTAACTTCTTACATGTTGTTTTAATAGTTTGTCTGTGGCCTTTATACTGAAGGTCACTTTGACTGGATATCTCATCTCTGGCTCAGATGTAAGATTTCTAAGAACAGAAAATCTCTCTCTCCATTGAGTTCTAACATAAAATGTTACTGTTAAACTGTGACAACAACTTCATTTTCTTTCATTTATAAAATATTTAGTCTTTTTGTTTGGATGATTATAGGATGTATTTCTTTCTCTTCCTCTTCTTTTAATTTTATGAATACGTCTTAGTGGTTTTAGGTGTGTTTTCCCAAATATGTGGTATTCCCTTTTAGTATCTAGTTTCAAATGTTTGGGTATTTCATGCGGGTTTTTCGATATTCTTTTTTGTTGCTTTGGTTTTCCTCCCTGGGGACTCCTTTTATCTTTTGTTGATTTTCTTCACCTTTTTTACTGTAACTGTCCCTTTCCTTTAAATCATTTCTGTATCCTGGCACCTCGTTTCTGAGTTACTTTAATTATGAACTTGTTTTTTACTGTTTTATGTCATTCTCCTAATGTCTTTTAGCATGTTTTAAAATACTGGATCATCGTTCTCATCTCTTTTGTTAGGTATGACTTTCAGGTATGGTTTCATTAGCTGAAGAGATATTATTCCCTTTGGTTTTCTTTTCTTTTCCTTTTAAAAACTTCCTGTGGAATTGAGTCATGATCATTTCCACTCCCCCACCCTCAGTTTTACATGAAATTAGCTTTCTTACACTTTGAAAAGAGAGAGTTGATCAGCATGACTTTTTTTCCACCTAGCTTTAAGTTTTGAACTCTCCCTTCTGTTGTCTTCATAAAGTTTTTTTTTTTTTTTTTTTTAATGTGGCTTCACACCCTCTGGTATCTCCTGGATCAGAAACCCTGTTGCTTTTCTCCACCTGGCTTGTTTCAGCATTCATGTAGTCACCTCATCAGCAGTATTGTCGTGGGTGTTGTCTGTGGCTTGGGGTTTTACTCTCCTCATCTCCCTGTTTTCAAGGAAATTAAAAAATTACACTAATTCTACTGCTATCTTCACTTCCTGTGTAGCTCAGTTGATAAAGAATCTGCCTGCAATGCAGAAGACCTGGGTTCAACTCCTGAGTCGGGAAGATCCCCTGGCTACCCACTCTAGTTTTCTTGCCTGGGAAATTCCATGGACAGGGAAGCCTGGTGGGCTGCAGTGCATGGGGTTTCAAAGAATCGAGCACAACTGAGCGACTGAGCACACACTCAAAGGGAGCGAGGCTATTGTTGATGTAAAGTGAGTAGTTGGAGTGGTCCCAGGTGGCACTAGTGGTAAAGAACCTGCCTGCCAGTGCAGGAAACATAAGAGACATAGGTTCGATCCCTGGGTCAGGAAGATCCCCTGGAGGAGGCCATGGCAACCCACTCCAGTATTCTTGCCTGGAGAATCCCGTGGACAGAGGACCCTGGTGGGCAGCAGTCCATGGGGTCGCAAGAGTCGGACACGACTTAGTGACGCACTTGAACTTGACTACTATCTTCTCAGGATATGCTCATGGACTTAGACCAAATATTACTGATATTTAAGTACAGTGTTATTCTACTAATCCCCTAGAAACCTGTAATATTTGTAAAACTAGGAATGTAATATAAATTACTTTCTGAAGAAGCTTCTATTATAGAACTTGTTTGAAATAAAGACTTAAACTAAAATTAAGATCTTAACCATCTCAAAAGTGAATTACTGTGTAATTCCTTTATATAGAAATATGTGATGACACATGTATATACACACATATCATGAGTATATAGTAAACATACATACAATGTTACAGGTTTGAATTTTTCCTCAGGCTCAAAAGCAGTTGCTTTTCTTTTGGGAGTAATCTTTGGTAATGTCTTCGTTTATTTGATGTTGCTGGCCTGTTTAAGCTCTCAATTTCTCCTTGGTTCAGTTTCTTAGAACTAAAAGGTAAATTGGGCAAACTTAAGAAAAATCAGTGATCTATTTAATTTTTGGCTTCATTGCTGCTTGGGCTTTTCTGTAGTTGTGGCAAGCAGGGGCTACTCTCCTGTTGGGGTGCGCGGGCTTCTCATTGCAGTGGCCTTTCTTGTTGAAGGGCATGGGCTCTAGGATGTGTGGGCTTCAGGAGTTGTAGCACATGGGCTCGGTAGTTGTGGCACACAGGCCTAGTTGCTCTGCCACATGTGGGAGCTTCTCACATCAGGGATTGAACCCATGTCTCCAGCACTGGTTGGCAGATTCTTTATCACTGGGCCACCAGCGAAGCTTTGGGCAAACTTTTTGAAAGGCATTTCATCCCAGAGTATCTCCTTCTCTGCTTGTCCCTGTTCTTGCATAAGATATAAGCCAGAAATTAGGCCAGTGCCAGACCAGCTGGGGCCTCGGAGACTGCAGACCAGCACTCTCCGTGTGACAGCAAGGGAGATACTCAGTGATGGGAGAGGAACTCAGGTGAGTTTGGCCACCTGAGCTTTATGTTCATACTTGTATAGACAATCACTTTTGAACCAAGAAAGAAAAGCACATGATGCACAGTGGGCCTCATTCTGAGACGAGAGGTATTTTTCATTTTGATCCAGAAAAGGAACTGCCAGCCCCCTGAGTGGTGTCCATCCTGCTGATGCTAGAATTCCCTGGTATCGTGCTCCTGGCAGAAGAGGGTTGGGCAGCTCACCATTTGAAGCCCTGTCTCATGATGGGCAAGTAGCACCCCTCCCATCCCCCAGTCTGACATGTCCTTGAGGTGGTGGTCACCTGGGCCCTTTGGGTGAGACATGGTGGGAAGAGACATATTTTGTTGCTTTTTTATTTATTTATTGATGATGTGGACCATTTTTTAAGTCTTTATTGAATTTGTTAACAATATTGCTTCTGTTTTATGTTTTGGTATTTTGGCCACAAGGCATGTGGGATCTTGGTTCCCTGACAAGGGATGGAACCCACACCCCTTGCATTGGAAGGCGAAGTCTTAACCACTGGACCACCAGGGAAGTCCCTGTTGTTGCTTTAAATCTTTTCCTTTCTAGGAAAACAGAAATTGGTTCTCGTGTCCAGCTGTGTGAGAGGGTGAGAAGGAAGGAGGGTGTTACACACCTAACACTTCCCTTGGCCCTTCAGGTCTGTGACGAGGAATGGCATCACTACGTCCTCAACGTGGAAATCCCCAGTGTGACCCTCTACGTGGACGGTGTCCCTCACGAGCCCTTCTCTGTCACTGAAGATTACCCACTTCATCCATCCAAGATCGAAACCCAGCTCGTGGTTGGGGCTTGCTGGCAAGGTAATGGTCACGGGTACTCCCTTTTCCCCTCAATCGCAGGGAGCAATACTTTTTCTCTGCTGTGTTGATATTAATAGAAGCAGGCTCTTCTCAGTATTCTCATTCCTTGCTGTCCTGTCCTTTATCTTTTCATTCCTTTGCCTTTCCGGGGGCATTGCTGTGCAAGGCTCTGGGGCGCAGCTCTGTGATGCTCGAGGCAGTGAAGGATGGGAACACCTTTCCTGAGGGCCTGGGAGGGAGTGTTGTGCAAAGAGAGAGTGTGTTGAGAAACTTGTTTATAAATTAATCTGTTCATTGGAAAGTTTACAGAAACACAGAAACAGCAGTCAGGCACAGATATTTGAGTTGCTCTGGCCCAGAGGGCACATCAGAGTGTTTGTGGTTGGTAACCTGGTAGAAGCACTTCAGTGAGAACTCGAGAAGAGTTCTGTGGGCGTCTCTGCCAAAAGACTGAGATGGGATGTGATGACAATCACCAGCAAGATGATACCGCTTATTCTTGTTTTCTAAGTGGCAGGCTGTGTGCTGATTGCTTAACATACATTATCTCATTAATTCTAAGTGATACATCTGTGGGGCAGAAGCTCTTTTTATCCCTATTTCACAGCTGAAAAACTGAGGTGAAGAAAAGAAGCAAGCTGTGTTAATGAGCTGATCACATGGCGCTAGGGTTTGAACCCCTGGAGCTGGTGCACTCAGGCCAGGGTCTCTGATCCACCGAACGAGGAGTGTTAACCTTTTCTGTGCCATGGATTCCTCTGGTAGTCTGGGAAGCCTGAGGATCCCTTCTCAGAAGGATACATTTCTTATGAATCTATAAAATAAAACACATAGGATTTCAAAGGTGACCAATTAGATTGAAGTACATGCAATTATGAAAGTGCTAAAAAGCCATAATTTGTGAAATAGTAACATCTGTGCTGCTATTTACATGTGAAGATCAGGCACATCTGTTAACTGCTGTGAGTCAGAATAGCAAGGGGCTTTGTAACAATGCTTGTTGGTGTGATGGGACATGATTTCTATTTGCAAAGTCACGGTTTCTTCCAATATTCCTGTTTGTAGCTGACATTTACAAGGAAAGGGAAAACTAAATATTAGAAGTTAGTGAAAATAAGCTTGTGATTTTTCCCACCCAAGTTCACAGGCCCCCTGGTCTGCCATTGAGGTTCATGGGGCCCCACCTCCAGCCCTTGCCCTTGACTCTCTACATGTGTCACCATCCTCACATGTACCTGCTGAATCAGCCTGCCTTTTCCTCCTCTGTGGGAGTGTTGTACCTGGAGTTAGATTAGAAATTTATGAAAGAGCCTAATTTCCAAGACATCGTTTGAGCAAACTCTGGGAGATGGTGAAGGACAGGGAAACCTGGCATGCTGCAGTCCATGGGGCTGCAGAGTCCAACACGACTGAGCAACTGAACAGCAGTTTCCAAGACACTGTTGCTGCTTTTCAGAGGATTGAATTCCGTAATTTTCCTGTAGATCCTTTCAAATGAAAAGGAATATGACAGTATTCACAGTGAACTTCTTCAGTGAATTCCCAGATTTAATTCTGGTGACAGTTGGTTTGTAAGAAATGAGAACATGAGACCAAGGAGTGAGGAATAAATTATTAGGCATATCAGAAGTTTTTGTTATTCTTAAAATTTCAGTTCACATTAGCTTCCCCAATTTCTCAGTGAAGACTTGAATAAGAATACAAGGGCCAACCTAAGTGTTACTTTGTATTCTGAGAACTTTGCTGAATTTGTTGCCCTCACATTCCACTCTGCCTTCCTATTCATGTCCTGGTGCCTCTGCTGTCAGAGGGCCGTCACTTTCACCCTCTCTCATCTCTTTCTACCTCAGCCCTCTCCACATTCTCAGCCAGAAAAATCTCCCTAAATCTCCAAACCAGACACAAGTTTTTAAAAATCGTAGTTAACAGGAAAAAAGATCTCCTTTCTTCCTTTCAGGGGATTCGAGATCCCTTTTCAGATTCACCATGGGGAACTCAGGCTGGAGGTCCCCTCATGGCATCAACAGAAACATCAGTTCTAACTATGGGTTGTGAAGACAGAGGAGCTGTGTGGGCCCCAGGGCTCACCTGTGTGTTCAGACAGAAGAGCTGTGTGGACCCCAGGGCTCACCTGTGCACACCTAGCCTGGAGCCCACTCAGCTGCAGCTAAAGCTAAAGGGGGAGAGGCCTGTTCTGCAAGGTGGGGTGGACACAGGGAAGCAGTCTTGAAAGTGGAAACTCTGTCCTCTTATCGGGTGGGTGGGTGCCTAGACCCAGAATGCTGGTGGGTAGCCGCAGCTGCTGTCCCCGAGCCCCGAGCCTGTCACCGATTGAGTATGTTTCTCTGGGTTAAGTTCCCTAATCTCTGACTCCCTTCCTGTTCAGAAAAACTGGTTAAAAATGCCTTCCTTCCTCAGTCCCTTGCAAGTCAAAGTCTCAACCAATTATGTACTCCTTTTGAGCCTTCAAAAAAGTCATACACGTTCGCTACGTTCCAACCTCTGGATGCTGACGCATGTGTTCCCCATCAGGAAGGCCGGTGCTGTGGTCCAGGTGGGCTGCCATTAGCACTGGGTCCGTCTCTGCCACCGACGTCAGCCACCATCTGGCTGGGTCCTGCCTGGGCAGGTTGAGGAGATCAGTGAATTGAGCACACGGCTTTCAGTCAGTCTTATTTTGAATCCAACTTGTGTTTTGGCAAGAAGGCTGTAGGAAGGTGAAATAAAAGACTGGAAAAAGATGAACAACATGGTCCTACTGTATAGCCCAGAGAACTATATTCAGTATCCTCTGATCAACCATAATGGAAAAGAATATGAAAGAGTGTGTATGTTTGTGTGTGTGTAACTGAACCACTTTGCTGTATCGCAGATTAACTTCGTAAATCAACTACACTTAAACTTTTTTTTTAAAGGATGGGAGGAAGCATTGGGGTAAAAGGTGACGAGGTACAAGCTTCATCCACGTGGAATGTGTCAGGAGGGATGAGAGGCGAAGTGTTCTCTTTGTGTTTGTGTTTGGTAACTTTTCAAAACTAATTTTCAAGGTCCAGTTCTGAAGAGCCTAACCTCTTGGTCCTGTTATATTGTCTGTCTTGCTTTTCTACAGAGTATTCAGGAGTTGAAAATGACAATGAAACTGAGCCTGTGCCTCTGGCCTCCGCAGGTCCCTGGACTCTTGCCTACGGTTTCACTCTTGTGTTTCATTTAAAGACGAGACCTCCATTCATTGCCCATTCCGCATGCGACACCCCGGTTGCATTTGGGTCCTAGACACTGTCTTGAGCTGCCGCTTTGCCTTATGCTGCCTCATTGCATCATGGGATTTCCCTTTTCTGCCCGTGCTGATCCCAGCTGAAGTGAGAGCAAATGACTCATTCATGCGAGGCACTAATGAGAGTTTCTTTTACCCCCTTCATCAAATCTTACCCCATCCCACTGCCTGAGATGCCCTGCTGAAATCTCATAGGCCAGGATTGGGAGGCTGCCTCCTGCTTCTTGTGTGTCTGAACTACCAGATAGGAAAAGACTCGTGTGTAGATATTCTGTCCCACCCGATAATAAATTCTAAATAATGTTTCTTAGAGATCTCGATCCCTAGCAGTGATGTTGCATGTAATGTCCTTGTCAGGATTGAGACATGCTGCTGACAGTCGGGCTCTTCTCCTTCAGTGTAAGAACAGGGTTTACTACCTCCTGGTTTTGGCTCTTTGTGACAACCTGTCAAGGGCCACTTTCTGGCTTTTTCTTACAACATCTTCACTCTCCTCAGCTGTCCTCAGTAGTTGGAGACAGGAATGCTGCGCGTCAATGAAACAGCCATCTGAGTGGCCTTGATAATAGGCTTCTAAGTGCAGGGTGGGGTTTTAACATTCATTTTATCTTTCTACTCCTGCTTGTGTGTATTCATCCCTGAGTTTGTATGTATTCTGGGAATATGCTCAGTTAGAAAAAAAAGCAACCCAAGGGGAATTCCCTTTTTGTCCTGTGGTCAGGACCCAATGCTTTCACTGCAGGGGCCCGGTGTGATTCCTGGTCAGGGAACTAAGATCTTGCATCCACATGGTGCAGCCAAAAATAAATAAATTTTTAAAAGGCAGCCCAGCATCTGATCCAGCTGATTGAGAAGGCAGTGGTTGAAGAGACTGGCACCAGTAAGATGTCACTCATGTGCCATGGTGACCAGTGCAGCATGGGCCACCCTTACTGGGGAGTGGCCACATGAGTGGCGACAGTCATGGGACCTCTGGGCTTTTGGTGAGGAACACCCCCCTCCCCTCATCACCACTAGCTCCTCTCTTCTCCGGGCCACATGCATGATCATAAACCATTTAATTTCCTCATTGTGCTTCCATGTCAGCTGCAAGGCTAACAGGATCTGATAGGAACTAACCTGCATGTCCACCCATCAAGCCACCACCACTGGTAACACCACATTGGAAGTGAGACGGGAGGCCCCAGGCCGCCCCCACAATTTCTGCTTTCCCTCCCTCATGTTCCACAGGTGGTGACCTGCGCATGACCCAGTTTTTCCGAGGTAATCTGGCTGGCTTGACCATCCGTTCTGGGAAGCTCACAGATAAGAAGGTGATTGACTGTCTGTATACCTGCAAAGAGGGGCTAGACCTGCACACCCCCGAAGACAGTGGCAGAGGTGTCAAGGTAACACAGGGACCCCCCCCTGCCTGGCACCCCACTCTCCTGCACCCACAGCTTCCTTGACCTCAAGTGCAGAGGCCGCTGGCACAAGGGTTGATCTGTTTTTACTCTTAGCACCTCCAGCACCACACCCTAACTCTTCAGCTCTTTGGGCCCCCGTTCCCCAGTCATCCCGTAGTCCACTTCCGCCCTGACACTGACTGGGCACCAGGCCCCCCCCCTGCCTACCAGACACCTGCTCCTCAGCTGCTAGTTACAAGCTTCCAGGCCTCTGGTATCTACACTTCCATCCAGCTTGGCTGTAAGTCCAGGATTCCCACAACCCCTCCCCCTTTTCAGTTTCAATAATTTGTAGAACTCAGAAAACCCCACAGAACACTTTGCTTACGGTTGCTGGTTTATTGTAAGGGATGCAACTCACGAACAAGCAGGTGGAAGAGATACTCAGGGCCTGGGGTGAGGGAAGTGCACAGGGCTTCCACCCCCCACCCCCCAGCACCTTGCTGTGTCTGCAAACCCAGAAGTTCTCCAGACCCTGTGGTTCGGGGGGTTTGTAGAGATTCCATTATATAGGCATGATGGATCAAATCATTAACCACTGGTGATCAATTAACACAGTCTCCAACCTTTCTCCCTTCAAGGGTAGGACTGAAGGTCCACTCTCACCACATGGTTTGTTTCTCTAGCAACGAGTCCCCATCCAGAAACTATCTAGGGCTCCACCAAGAGTCACCTCATTAAGGTAAACTCTGGGGTGGTTGAAAGGGGCTTAATCAGAAATAACAAAAGATACTTCTATCCCTCAGGAAATTCCAAGAGTTTTAGGAGGTCTGTGCTAGGGACAAAGACCAAACATTTTTTTTCTTCTTATATCACAGATCTGTTTTGCACCTTCAATATTTACTTCACGTTGTGGGGTCATGGTCACTGGAATTCTACACGCTTTTCTTCTCCTAAGTCACCAGTTCACATCAGTCCCAAGCTAATTCTCTTTGTTAGCGCGTTCATGGTTTTACCTCCTTGCAGACAGAACCTTACTCCTCTTCTGTCTGTTTTGGTGCCATTTCAGATCCAGGCCAACCCTAGTCAGTCGATGTTGACCTTGGAGGGAGAGGACGTGGGGGAGCTTGATAAGGCCATGCAGCACATTTCCTACCTTAATTCACGACAGTTCCCCACCCCAGGGATCCGAAGACTCAAAATCACCAGCACAGTCAAGTAGGTGCTGATTTGTTAGCAGTAAATCTTGTTTTTCTTTGCTCAGTGACCCTTGAGAAGAAAATGTGTGCATTTAAGTTTTTTAGGACAAACCAGCCTCCCTTCTGTAAGCTTATGGTCACTCATTACCAGAAACTTTGAGTGATGTTTGGAAGCACATTCTGGGAGTGGCCAGCGTCTTGTCCCCCACGTGGTTGTGGAATCCTGCCTGCGCACCTCCGAGCACTCTCGTGTGGCCTGAGTTGTGTGTGTGTGTGTGTGTGTGTGTGTTGTGCTCAGTCACATCCAACTCTTTGCCACCCCATGGACTGTGGCCCGCCAGGCTCCTCTGTCCATGGGATTCTCCAGGCAAGAATACTGGAGAACCCTGTGACAGTTCCTCCTCTTGGAGTGTGGCCTGAGAAGCCGTCTCTTCGAGCCCTGACCCTCCCCTCCCCTTCCTTGTTGATAGGTGTTCTAACGAGGCCACCTGCATCTCCGTCCCCCCGGTGGACGGCTACGTGATGGTTTTGCAGCCAGAAGAGCCCAAGATCAGTCTGAGCGGCATCCACCATTTTGCTCGAGCGGCTTCTGAGTTTGAAAGCTCAGAGGGGGTCTTCCTCTTCCCCGAGCTTCGGATCATCAGCACCATCACGAGAGAAGTGGAGCCCGAAGGGGAAGGGGATGAGGACCCGACAGGTGATAGCCCAGAACGGTTGGCCCTGCCTCAGCTCGAAACTGTGCAGCTGAAACTCCACTGCGGCTGCCAGGAGAAAATCCCGGCCCTTTTCCTTTGTGATTTTGGAAACTTGAATGTTTCTGTGCTGTTTTGGGTTTGCTTCTAGAATCTGACTGTGGGCTGGAGCTCCTTCTGATATTTGGAAACCCACTTATTGGGGGGGGGGGTCCTCTGATCTTTCTCCAGCTTGATGTCAGAGTCTGGGATAGATCTTGGGGGTTGAGAGGATGGAGACCAGGGCAGGGGATGCAGTTGGGGGATGCTCCTGCTGGCTGGCAGTCCCAGCAGGACAGACCACTCCCTATTCTCAGGCCTTCTGACTGTTCTTTCAGTCCTCTTTAGATGCATAAAACTCCCCCAATTCTTGAAAGGGACTTTCCCATACCTCCATCCATGGTCCCTAAAAGGGGACTGTGAGTTTGAGGATGAGCAGGCGGGCCGTTGCTGTGACCCCCCTCCCCAGGCTCCGTGGCCTCTGATATTTCCAGTTGGGCTATTTTTGCAGTTCAAGAGTCACTGGTGTCGGAGGAGATTGTACACGACTTGGACACCTGTGAGGTCACAGTGGAGGGAGAAGAACTGAATGGAGAGCAGGAGAGCTTGGAGGTGGATGCAGCCCGCCTGCAGCAGAAGGGCATCGAAATGAGCAGCTCTGACGTGGGTGTGGTCTTCACAGGTGGGAAGAGTGACATCTAGGAGCTGTCCTCCCAGCTCAAAACCTGGAGGGAGCCCTGGAGGGGGCGGGAAGGGAGAGTGTTGACTGGGCCGATGGCACACGCCCTTCTGTAGGGGGAAATACCCGCAGTTGGACAGCCAGGCATGGCTGAGTGCCTTGGGAACCGCCTGCGTTTGCCTGTGGCCTGTGTTCCTGACCTCTGTACTGCTGTCTCCTCCTCACCCACAGGCGTTGATACCATGGCCAGCTACGAGGAGATCTTACACCTCCTGCGCTATCGGAACTGGCACACCAGGTCCTTGCTTGACCGCAAGTTCAAGCTTGTCTGCTCTGAGCTGAATGGTCGCTATGTCAGCAACGAGTTCCAGGTGGAGGTGAGAGCCGGGCTCTACAGAGAAAGGCCAGTGGCGTGGTGACTGAGCACTCCACTCACGACCCTGATGTTTGCAAATGCTGATTTCCAGAGCATTTGTAGGGATTACTGTTGGGGTGCTTTGGGGGGCTGGGTCACCTTTTCCAATCAGGGGGGCTGCTCCAGGCTAGACCTGCACAGGTTTGGGGATGACAGGTTGTGTGTGAGGTGAGCTGGGATCCAGCATGGTGCCCCCTTCACAGTCCCGCTCAGCCCGAGACTTGGAGGGGCCTTGGAGGGCGGTGGTCAGGATCAAGTGGTGGTTGATACCTTGGCCTGAGGAGCAAGAGTGTGTCTTGAGATTTGACACTGCTTTCGAAGGAGCAGTGCCCAGGAGCCAGAGGTTTTCTGCAGAGGCCTGGCCCTGCTGGGAGTGAATGCTCTGCCCAGGGCAGGACCACCTTTCGAGGAACGTGGTCGTCGTGACTCCGGCCCAGGTGGCCAGGGGGCATGTGGCCCCTCTGACCTGTCTAGTGTCAGTCAGAGCTTCTGTGCCCCAGAGGAATGAACCAGAAGTTATTCTCAGCAGTTGAACACTTGCACTGTGACCCCACAGCCCCAGAATTAGACTCACAAGGCTGAAGAGTCCATGAGGGTATTCTTTGAGCTGAGGGTAGTGGATTTGAAAGATAAGAGAGCCTGTGATTTGTGTTCTTCCATGTGGCTGTGATTTTAAGAAAAGAGGGACATGGTCTGTGCCCAGGCTTCTCAGATGACATGGGGTAAAGGGCCATTGGTGGTGCTGGGCCTTTTCCTCCAGCCTGTTGTGGATGAATTATTTTATCAGGCACAATAAAAATGAGTTATTAACGAGCAGGCTTTTTCTTGGCTGTGTGACAACATCAGGTCATTACAACACCCTCCTTGGCTTCTTCTGTCCTTTTCTCCACCCGCCAGCACCCATCCAGGGCCCATTTTGGTGGTGCTGGTCAAGTGCATGTCCATTCCCCAGACACATCCAGGCTGCCTTTCCATTTCTGCAGGTGAATGTCATCCACACGGCCAACCCAATGGAACACGCCAGCCACATAGCTGCCCAGCCACAGTTCGTCCACCCCGAGCACCGCTCCTTCATTGACCTCTCGGGTCACAACCTGGCCAACCCCCACCCGTTTGCAGGTAGGACTGTGCTGCCCTGCCCTGATTCCTGCTGTAAGCTCGGCGCCCGCATCCCCCCTGGCTCAGAACAGTCACTAGCCAGCCCAGCTTTTATTCCCCAGAACATAAGGAAACTGGAGCACAGACAAGGCGGCAAGGGACCAAACCCCTGCACTGAGCCTTTTCTCAGAGGTCTGTCTGTTCCCGGGGGGCTGATGGAGCCAGCAGTAGGGAGGCCCAGGGCACATGGGCCCAGGATGGGTCCTGTCATCACAGCCGTCCTGTCTCCTCTCACCCCAGTCGTGCCCAGCACTGCCACCGTCGTCATCGTGGTGTGCGTCAGCTTCCTGGTTTTCATGATCATCCTGGGGGTGTTCCGGATCCGGGCCGCACACCAGAGAACCATGCGGGACCAGGACACCGGGAAAGAGAACGAGATGGACTGGGACGACTCCGCCCTGACCATCACCGTGAACCCCATGGAGGTAGGTGTGGGGCCCCGGGGAGGCTCATCCACCCCCCCCACCCCCACCCCCACCGCTGACGTTCCTGTGCTCTGTGTGGTCCTTACCACGACCCTGCCGTTAAAGTGAGGCCTGTGGGGCCTGATATGGGTCCTGTTCACACTGTGGGTGGTGACCAGAGCTTTGTTTCCCTTTGTCTGCGGTGAGGCTCCTTCCAGCCTAGTCCAGCCCCTCTGGCCGGGTTGTGGGATGTGACTCCCAGCAGGGGTGGGGCTGGATTCAGCACCCGGTCTGTTGGGTCGTCCCTTTGTCAGACGTACGAGGACCAGCATAGCAGTGAGGAGGAAGGGGAGGAGGAGGAAGAGGAGAGCGAGGACGGGGACGAGGAGGACGACATCACCAGCGCCGAGTCGGAGAGCAGTGAGGAGGACGAGGGGGAGCATGGGGACCCGCAGACCGCGAACCGGCAGCAGCAGCTGGAGTGGGACGACTCCACCCTCAGCTACTGAGCACCCCGTCCCCCACCACCCCGTCTTCCTTCCTGCTTCCGGAGACTCTGCTGCCATCGCTGCCCACCCCCAGGGTCCATGATGTACAAAGTCATTCTGGCCAGTAGGTCTGCAGACCCTCCCTGCCGCCAATCTCTGCCCTGCTTGGTGTGTAGGCCCGTAGGCTCCCTCCCCGCTACCTGCCTTCCTCCCGCTCGCTGGATCGCTCTTAAGTTATGTGAGGAGCTGACGCTTGCTCAACTCCAGAAAAGCTGCAGTGACTGGACTCCTTGACAAAGGGTTAGAATTGCTCACTCCCACCTGGTAATCCTTTCTTCTTTTTTTTAAAGTTTTATTTTTCCACACTAGTGCATGTATAAAATGGCAGAATGGGGCTAATATGTAGATGATAAACTGACTTTTTAATATTTTGTAAATAAATTGGGATTCCTCGTGTCTTTTGTGCTAGTGTAACCCAGGGCTGGGTGCAAAGTGAAGTGGAGACACTGAGCGTGGGAGGGACCGAGGCCCCCCTGACCCGCACCCCCCACCCCCACCCAGGACCAGGAGAGACGGGCACAGAACTGTGCTTGCTGCCTGGCAGGAGGGGACTGGGCCAGGGACCCCTCTTCAGAGGCTGGAAAAGGTCAGGTCTTTTCTTTGGGATGCTACCCATTTCTGATTTGGCAGAGGGCTGAGGGGAGCTGGGGTCCTGGCTGTGTGTACTCGCTTCTCTGAGGACCAGCAGCTCACACAGGTGCAGCTTGGGGTCCGTACCGAATAGATGTAGTTTTCCTTGCTGGTGAGAGTGCATGTTGACCGTCCAGATGGTGCAGACCCTCTAACCACTTGGTTTGGAGACAGCAACAGGCCTGGGGGAATCCATACTCAGAACCTTGCTGAAATGATGCCCAGTGGCCGGAGGGCAGCACTCCATTCCCAAGCAGCTGCTGTGCCCCCTCCTCCCAGAGCCCGCCCCGGGGATACAACCCACGCCCAGTAGGTGGTGAAAGGAGAACACAGCAGTCAAGAGCTAAAACCCCTACAGCACTTGGTTTTTAATGTACATGTAAAATTTTAGATTTCTAAAACCGGGGGGAAATAATTTTGAACACTACGCTGTGATCATAACCGCTAGTCTTGAGGACACTGCCAGCTGTCCTGTGTCACATGTGGCCACCCCTCCATGTACTGTCACTGTAGCTGCTCTGTTTAGACCGTGGGTAGACGCTAATGCGGAGACAGGACTGTTCTCGCGCTGTCTGTAGCGGCCGTGGTACCACTTTTCAGATGTGTATATTGACAATAGGTCAGAAAGTGTATACATACAATAAAGTCTGGTTCTAACTCCAGCAGGCTAGCGGCTTTTTGTTGGTCTCATTTTCATTTGAATCGTACATTCCCTTGGTTTCTTTCTGAGCCAAGAACATAACATACAAAGGCTTTTATTTCTTTTAATCTGTTTTTACCTCTCACTTCAAGGTTTCAGACTACTGGTCTGAACCTTCATCAGTTATGTCAAACTCACCTTCCACATACAGAAACATCAAATGGTTTTTTTAAAAAAAACATAGAAAATAGTCTTTTCGCTGGGCACACAGGCCATGCACCCAAACCAAACATTGCTGTGTATACACAGTGTGCTGTCCATGCCAGGAAGCACAGACTCGTTTAAATAAATAAACAGAAAGATGTACACTCAGCTTTTCCTATTCCCAGATAGGTGAGGTGGGTATGATGAATTCAGCACTTAGTTGGGAACCAGGGTCTGGTCAGCGGAGCTCTGTGGGTGGCATGGATTGCTACGGCTGGTGCCACTCAGCCACTTCTAATGAACAGAGAAACAAACTAGTCCCCCGGGCTCTTCTGGAGGCTGTGCGCTTGGGCTGTTGAGAGGGCAGTTACCTCTGGCACTGCTGAGCCTTTGAAGGCCTTTGAGAGGTAAGTGGTGTCACCCTGTGGGTCCCCAGTAGGCTGCTGATTCCATTACCCCCACCCGTGGGCTGCTGGAAACCCAGATTCTCAGCCCTGTCTTCAGAGTTGGCTCCAGAAGGCCGACAGAGGCCCAGAGACCTGCATTCCTGGAGCTCCTCAGATGTACCCAAGGCTGAGCCTGAGTCGTTCTCTGGCTAACTACTGTCTGAGGAAAAGATGCCCCCACACCCCTGACTCATGCCTCTGCTACCTAGGTCCTCAGAGCAGAGTCTCAACAGTGAGTGTTTCGGAGAGGAGATAGGTCTTTCACTACCTAAAACCTGCTTCAGGTGGAGGGAGTTTACACACAATTGCACAATTGCACCAGCTTGCCTCTTGATCCATGACCAGGGTGAGCTCAGGGAAGCTCCCGTCTTTCTGATGTGGCTTGAGAACCAGTGTGCACTCTACCTGATGGGGGCTGGGGCCATCCCCCCACCCTCACCCCGAGCTATAGAGGTCAGTAAGTAGTTGGGCTACTTTTTTTTCTTACCCGCAAACAAAATCGCTTTACAGCAGAGATGAGAATTCCCGTAACCAGAAGTACCCTCCCTGAATGCGGAGGGCACCCAGGCTGCTTCTGGGAGCTGCCCAGAACTCAGTCTAATGGAGAGCACGCAGGTGGAGGTGGTGAGCAGGCATGGGCGCCTTGTCTGGACCGCCAGGCACGGACACATGTGCAGTGCACTGGGAGCCTGGGGAGGAGGCAGCCCCCGTGCGGGAGAGAGGAGTCTTGGCTGGCTCCAGATCCACCAGCTGGAAGACTTGAGGTTACAGACCGTCGGCAAGATGCAGCCTGAGGTGTGCGGCTCACAGTGTCTTCCCATCAAAGCCCAAGGCTCTGACGGACACAAGGAGGACAGCGCCCGCCCCCACTCTAGGGTGCATTTCTATGTATGGCTGTTCAGTTCCTGAAACATTTCAAGTCATAAATAAATAACCAGTGTAAACAAAAGGCAGTCGTGTAGGTTCTTTCCTAAGGATGCAGTCCAGCCTTTTGGCCCTGGAGGGTGGCTGAGGGTGCTCGGCTCCCAAGACTGACAGTTTGCTCGTCTCCGGGCGTGGGGCTGGGAGGGGTTATTATTGCCTGTTATCTTTGGACACGTTGTGGGCCAGCCAGTTCACTTTGGTTTTCCAGCTCTCCCGGAGGGCTTCATTAAACTTCACTCGGAAGTGCTTCAGAGCCTCCTCCTCTGTTTTCCCCAATGCCAGAGAATCCTGGGGCAAAACCAAAGGAGTGGGTATCCCCCTGAGGGGCTGGGCCCTGCTCAACAGGAACCCCTGCCCCCCTGCACCTCTGCCCTCTCTGGGCAGGTAACACCCCCTCCTCACAGAGGAGTCAGGAGAGCACCCCCCAACATCTCCCCGGGGAAGAGGTTCTTCCTTCTGACCCCAAACCAAGGCAGCCCCCTGACCCATCCTCAAAATAAGATGTCAGCTTGTGCCAGGAGGTCTTGGCCCCAAAGCCCCATGTGGACAGAGGACCTGGCCTTCTCCACTGGAAGCTGGCCGGGGGAGGAAGCAGGGGAGCAGCTTCGCCCCGGGAACTGGGCACCAAAGAGAACAACAGGAGCTTTGGCCCCACCGCCCTTCACTCCCCACCCCAGAGTCACAAACTGAAAAGACACAGGAAGGAAAAATATCTTAACCACAGAGGGAACCCTCCCGTGCAAGTGGAAACACCCTCAGCCTGTGGAGGACAGGCAGGTGGGCCAAAGGAGGTACCGGCAGAACGCAGGCTAATGCCGTCTGCTTCCTGCCAGATCTGGGTCCCAGATCAATGGGCCTTGTGGGTCCGTCACACCTGGGGGTTGGGGGGCCTCAGGAAGTCTGGGGCTCCCTGGTCTCCTGACCGCTGGGGCCCTGCCCTGGCCTTTACCTTGAGATACTGGATGTCTTTGGAGCAGCTGAGCTCAGGCAGGCCTGCCGCCCGCATCAGGGCAAAGAGGTGGAGGAAAAGGAGCCCATGGCGCCGCAGGATGGTGTAGGCCCGCTCACAGTAGCCCCGGAACCTGCAGGGAGAGGCCGGGGAGGGGGCTTTGGGTCCTTCTGGCCACTTCCACCCCAGCCAGCCAACCAGCCAGCCGGCTGGCCCACCCTTGCCCCAGAAAGAGCCGTGCACACAAAGCCCCAGCTTCCTCTAACCCACTCCCAGCACTGTCCCCTACAGGGGTGATCTGAGAGCTGAGGCCCATCATCCCTGCACTCGGCCTGGGGCCCCTAGCACCACGGGGCATCTAGGGGGTCTGAGGCACTCCCACCTTTCAAACTTCTCACTATTATTTGTCTTCCCTTGCTGGATCACGTGGACAAAGTCATAGGTGAGGATGAATGGGACCCGCTCACGGTTGATTCCAAACTTGGTCTTGAAATTCCCCAGAAAGTGGCCGAAATCAATGTGGAACAGCTGAGGGGAGGGGAAAGCAAAGACTGAAAAGGAGTCAGAAAGCAGGGTGCCTGGCCCAGAGGAGCTGGGAGGGCTTGGAGGGGGTTCTGCCAGTAGCTCCGTGCAGAGCAGAAAGGCCAGGGCTTGGGGCCGGCCAACAGGCACCCACCTGCCCGTTCTCTCGGATCATGATGTTGTCGCTGTGGCGATCGCCAATGCCCAGCACATAGGTGGCCACACAGTAGCCAGCACAGGAGAGGGTGAACTCCTCAATGGCTCGATCCAGGGCCTCCCTGGGGGGTGAGGAAGGAAACCATGGCCATGCCACTTTGCAGCTTCTTCTAAGTCCTTGTCCCCTTCCCTCTACTCTGGCCTTGTGACTTGCTTGCACTAATGGAACATGGAGGAAGTGATGCTGGGCTCATTCTGGAGCCGGGTCCTTAAGGCACCTTACAGCTCCCGAACCTTCCTCACTGCCACAGAAGGCAGCTAAGACAAGAGCGAGAGGCCATGTGGAGAGAGGCCCCAGATGCGCCCCCCTCCAGGCAGATCAAGCTACCTGATGAGGTCAGCTGCCTGAGTGATTCCAGCAGAAGAACCACTCAGCCGAACCAGCTCAAGTTGCAGATCTGTGATTTAAAGGCTCCTAAAGTTTGGAGGGGGCAACGCTTCCCAGGTGGTGCTAGAGGTAGAAAAACTGCCTGCCAATGCAGGAGACATAAGATCCCCAGGTCGGGAAGATCCCTGGAGAAGAATATGGCAATCCACTCCAGTATTCTCGCCTGGAGAATCCCATGGACAGAGGAGCCTGGTGCAGACATGACTGAAGTGACTTAGCAGCGGCAGCTGCGAAGTTCAGAGAGGTTCTTACATGGCAGTAACTAACCTATACCTGTGAGAACAGGGACCTGCCCCACCCCTCAACAGTTTCTATGGGATGGTCCTCGGCTGAGCAAGAAGCTCCAGAGACTGTCACAGGCCCTTCTCCTTGCTTTTGACTCCCAAACTCCACTCCTTGGGAAGGAGAGGCTGTCCTGAGGGCCCAAAACCTACCCAGGGTTCTTGGACTTGAGCCAGTTGAGCAGAGCATCCTTATTGAAGGCAGCTGTGGCTGCCATGTTGCTCTTGTTCAGCTGGATGTTGGCAATGGTGTCCGAGTGAAGCACCACCTCGATGAGGCCTGTGCGGTCCCCAGTGGAGAGGCAGCCGTAGGGGGTCATCCTAGCCGGGTGGGAGGAGGGGCAGGCAGACATAGTGGTCAAGGGCTGTCCCAAGGGCTGCTTGACCCTGAGGAGCTTAACCCACAAAAACCAAAGGAGATACTACTCAAGTTGCTGAAAAAGAGAAGGTGCTGGGGAGGAGCCCTTGACTCCCAGTGCTCCAGGGAAAGTTCCTTAGAGAGGTCATACCAGAACCCAAGATGCAGAGAGGAAAAGTCAGCACTTTGGCCAAGTCCATGTTTGTTCAAAAAGAAAAATCCCCGTGACTGGATGGAGAAGATGGAGCAAAAAGCCAGGGATGCTGGGGGCAAAGGAAACCATAGAGAGAGACAGGTGCCAAGGGCCAGGGTTGGCATTCTCTATCCTCATGCTACAGCCCTATTGCCTCCCTGACCCCGAGTTTTAAACTGGTCCTTCTGGGTGGTTCAGTGGTAAAGAATCCACCTATCAATACAGGAGACAGGGGTTCGATCCCTGGGTCGGGAAGATCCCCTAAAGGGGGAAATGGCAACCCATTCCAGTATTCTTGCCTGGAAATCCCATGGACAGAGGAGCCTGGTGGGCTACGGGGTCACAAAAGAGTTGAACATGACTTAGTGACTAAACAAAAACAGCAAAATTCTTCTTAGACCAGCCAGTCTTATTTCAGGTTGAGGCAATCATGTCAGCTTTGACAGGGGACCCCGGCAACGGGATACAGTCCTAGGCCTGGCACAGGCACACATGGATGACCGGAAGGCCTCTCACCTCAGGTCCAAGCCCTCCTGCTTCCACAGAATGTCCATGAGCTGGATCATCTGTAGGGTCAGCATGTCCTGGCGGAGGTCTGCACAGTTGCCCCGGGGAGGAACAGCATGAGTTTTCAGTGGGTTCACCAATCCCAGCCATGTCCAGGCCCCCAAGTCCCAGGACTCTGTCTTTTCCTCAGCTCACCTTCCAGGAGTCCTCCGCCCCCAGCAGGGTGCCCCTCCCCACCCAGGGCAGTATGGCAGGGTGTGTGGAAGCCTTGGCCTCCCAGGTCCTCCCTGGGGCCCGCCTGCTCACCATCCCCATTCTTAAAGATGATGCCCACAGCGCCATCACTGCCCGCCTCCTCGTTGCTGTACATGACCCACAGGGGCTTCATCTTGGAGTCCATGAAGGTGCACTGCTCCACGCTGCGGGGCAGACAGCAGTGAGCAGCGGGCCCTCCCCAAGGCCTGGGGCTGGGGGAGGGGAGGCCCTAGCTGGGGCCTGGGACTTACCAGACTTCAGCCAGCAGGGTGCTGGGGTCGAGTGGGGACTGCAAGTGGGACAGGGCCTCCAGGTAGGTCTCCTGGCGCATGCACAGGTGCATCAGCTCCTTGGTCTGGGGCTTGGTGGTCTTCTGGGAGCTCACTTTGACAACGTCGTTCAGGGCCTTCAGTTTGCTCAGTGCTTCCCCCTGGCCGGGAGGACGGGAGGGTGTCGTGGGTGGACTGGGAGGAGCAGGCTCCGAGCCCCTGCCGGGCCCACCGGGTTCTACAGCGATGGGGCGTGGAGCTACTCTGCCTGGAAGCGGAGCCCAGGCGAGGTCGTGGAGTGCAGTCAGGGTTGTGAGGTGCCGCGCCTCACCTGCTTCATCAGCACCTTCATGTGGTGGGTGCTGCCCCGGCAGTAGGCTTCCATGATGAGGCCGAAGCGCAGGGACACCGACGGCACGTGCATCTCAGAGCTGGAGGGAGGAACCCGGGGCTGAGCCTCTTCTGGCGCGGCCACACAGCCCCTCCCAGCCCCATAGGACCCGGCTGCCAAGGACACCCGGGCCGGCCAGCTGGTGGGAAACGCGAGGCCAGCAGGCAAGAGGCCCCTCCTCCCCGTGGCCTTGCAGGTGAGTCCAGCTACCGGAGGTGCCAGAAGAGGAAGTGGCCGATCCTGCGATTGGCCAGGGCCCGGTCCAGCAGGAATTTGGTCAGCTCGCAGTCGAGGTAGGACTCGTACTTGAGCACCTGCACCAGCTGCAGCAGGTACTGGAAAAGCTCGTCGTCCCTGCAGAGAAGGGAGGCCGGCTGGGGCCCGGAGCTCCGCGGCTTGGGAGAGGGTCTGCGGCTGGCGAGGGGGCAGGGCTGGGACGGGAGGCCGGCCTCACCGAAGCAGGCCCCTAGGAAAGGTCCCCACCCGGTGCCTAGGCCCCGGGCGGTGGGAGCACAGCTGCCCTCTGAGGATGAGGAATTCCGCGGGACTCACGTCAGTTTCCGCAGAGACTTGATGGCGAAGGAGCCCACGTGGCGGTCGGGGAAGCTGAAGTCTAGCAACTCCAGGGCGCTCAGGACTGGCAGTTCAGGCCAGGAGCAGAGCAGGTAGAGCATCTGGAGGAGGATGCGAGCGGTCAGGGGGCAGGGACGCGGGCTACGTCTGGCTCCAGGCTCCGCCCCTCCCCGCCCCCGCCCCCGCCCCCGCCCCTGCCAAGCCCGCCTCCGCCCCGCCCCGCCCCCTGCCAGCCCCGCCCTACCCGCCTCCGCCCCGTCCCGCCCCTGCCAACCCCGCCCTTCCCGGGTTCCGCCCCTCCCATCCCGGGCGCTGCCCCATTCCGGCCCCGCCCCCGTCGCCCACCTGGGCCACGTCCTCGTGTTTGTTCCACTTAGTGACCAGCAGCAGCCGGGCTAGGGCCTCGGGAAAGTGCTCCTGGATCTCGTGCCGCATCTTCCACACCAGGTCCTTCTCATGCTCATACAGTTCCCCGGAGCCCCGGCGCTCCAGGATCTCCCGCAGCTGTAGCTGCTGAGGGGCACAGCGGGGTGGGGGGGCAGTGGTGAGGGCTGCAGCCAGGTCCACACCTCACCGCCCACGGCCCCCAGCTCACCTCCTCCTCCGTGAAGCGTCCGTGCTCTCCGAGCCGCCCCAGCTCCAGGATCTGCAAGAGTGACCCTGATATCAGCAGCGCCCCTGGGGCCTGGGAGAGCCTGTGGGGGGGCCCTGGGAGTCGGTGTCAACCCTTTGGCACTGCTGACTTTGTGGCGAGTGACCCTCAATGGTGGGGATCATCCCGCGCACTACAGGGCATTTAGCGACATCCCTGGCCTCCACCCATGACATGCCAGGAGCATCTTCCCAGCTAGGTGCAATAACCTAAATTGTCTCTGGACATTGCCAGAAGTCCCATGGGAAGCCAAGTGGCCCCGGTTAAGAACCACCACTCTAGGGCACATGAGGACTCCAGACAGTCAAGGAAGCTCTCAAAAGTGTGTGGGGACCCAGTCCCCAGCCCTGGGCAATTCACAGGGTGCAGGGATCATGACCTGGGTGCCCCAGAGGCAGGGTGGGGACAGCTCATCTTTAGCCTTGAGGTTTCTAGGCAGGGTGAATCCTGGACCCCAAATGGCGAGGACCCCCTCACTGACCTTGTCCAGGGAAGGGTAGTATACAGGGTGAGGGGCCACCTCGGGGAGAAAGATGACCAGGGCGGCCGCACTCTCAGTGTTGGGGTTACTCCGAACGGTGCCACAGGGGTTCAGTAGCTCCCCTTTCTCGTCTAGACACAGGGACAGACAGAGTTGCAAGGGGAATGCCGCCATGTCTGGGTGCACCCCACCCCCCCACCGCCCCCTCCTGGCCTGGGCCCACCTGGGACAGAGGGCCACATGTAGAGACAGCGCTCGCCCGTCTTCAGCTGGTCCTTGTAGTCAAACAGCATGAGGTTGGCCCAGGCAATGGGGCAGTCCTGGGAAAGAAGCCAGGTGGGTCAGGGCCAGCCGCCCCAAAGGCCTCCGTTTGCTCAACAGCAGGATGGTTCCAGTCAGGCCATGCTGCCCTGCCCTCACCCAGACTCCCTATGCAGCAGCCAGCAGGGTCAGCCACACTGGTTTCCTACTGCTCCAGGACACATCCCACCCTCGGTTTCTTGAGAAAGCCTCACACAGAACATAGCAGCCCCGGAGAGCCGGCCCGGGTCAACTACCAGTGAGTCAGAGCAGCTCGGTGGCCAGTCACAGCCTGGTCCTGCTGACTCAGTGCTCAACCACACCTCCATCCCCAGTTGGCTGCTGACGCAGGCTCCCTGCTCCCTGGGAGGACACTGCGATTTTCCTTCCACCCCAGGGAGAGGCCTCCGGGTTCCCTCAAGGATCAAAGGCCCAGGTCTAGATATCCCAAGCACTCCTGCTCATAAGCCCAGGATTCCAGCACCATCACACAGCAGGGGGGACAGGGGGTGGCCAGTGGGGCGATGGGGAGGAGGAGGACGGGGTCTGCAGGCCCACCCAGACCCCATTCCCAGGATGTGTGCGTGCCAGCTGGGATGCTGGGGACAGATGGGCAGCAGCCCCAGGGGGCTGCAGGACAAGACCGGGCCAGCAGGGAGTGACTCCCACAAGCTCCACCCACCGCCTTCTTGGACTTCTTCTTGGTGGAGCGGGCCTTCTTGGCCTTCTCGATCACGGCGTAAAGTGCGAAGCAGAGTCGGGCCATGCGGGGCAGGTCACAGACGTTGATGTCAAACTCCAGCCGCTGCTTCCACACGGGCTCTGAGCACACGCTCACCTCCGAGCTGGACACCGTCTTGCATAGCGTCTCGTTGCCGTGGAAGAGCCCAGCCTGCACCACCAGCTGGGGAAAGGGCACACAGGTGACTGGTGGTAGAGGCCAGGCCCCTTCTCCCCCTGTGTGCTCCTTTCCCCCTAAGGCTCGAATCTCCTCATTTCAAGTGGGCCTGAACCTCCCCCACCAGGTGCTTGAAGGGGGGCCAGATAAGGGATGACTGGCTGCCTCAGGGGGAAAGAGTGATGGGGAGGGGAGGGTGGCGTGGGCGACTCCCCACTGACTGTGAGACCCCCGGGCAGGTTGCTGCTCTGCTTTGGGCCTCAGTTTCCCTATCGGGGCTCAGGGACCAGGGGCCCCTCTTGGTCAAGCGCCCAAGAATTGCATGAGTCCCTCTAGACAGGGAAGGATTTAATGCCCCAGCACACCCTGCCCTGTGTCCTCCAGCTCTGCCCTCACCCCCCAGTCAGAAAGCTGCCTCCACGCACCCTTCTGTGATTCGTCTACAGGAAACCAGACCTGCCTTGCGTGTGAAACTACCCCAGCCAGAAAGTGCTCCCCAAAGAGCCCTGGCTTCGTTGAGCCTGGGTTTCCCATTCTGCAAATGGGATGAGAAAACCTGCACCTCACAGACCATCTTGAGGCCAGAGGAGGCGGGCGTGTGAATGACTCAGAAATGGGCCTGGCCCCCTGGCTCACTGGAGCGGCTCCTCTTCTGTGTCCATCACCTCCCAGGCTCCACATCCCTGGGCTGGGCCAGGCCCCGCCACCTCCACCAAAGTCAATACCCAGAACTCACTGGGCCTGGTTTCTGCGAATCGGCCTCTTTGGCCAGCCGGCCCGCCCCCCTCCCCCTTTCCTGTTTTGAAGCTGCTCACAACCACCCCAGGCAGGGATGCTGGGTAATGTGGTCAGGTGGCTTTCGTGTGACCCCCCTCCCTTCTTCCTCTGCCACCCCTTCAGGCCACAGCCACCGTGTTTTTGCAAAAAACACACACTGCCTGTGCCCTTCCCGGCCAGGAGCCCGCCCTTACCTTCATCCGCTCGTCAGCATTCACTTTGCTGCCCTGGATCAGCTCGATGTAGAAAGGCTGCTCCAGGGACCAGAGGGACATGGAGGAGGGCTGGGCAGGGTTTGGGGGAGAATCGGGGAGTTAAGGCAGAGGAATTCAGAGAAGGCTGATGAGGCCTGTGGCCACTGGGGATGGGGTGAGGGTGTTGCAGGTTTACAGCCATGTTCGGTACCTGCCCACAGTGCCATCCTTTACCAGAAAACCTGCTGCAGGGACACCCCCACGGCCCCAAGGCCCCCGAACACTGCAGGGCACACAGTCCTGCCTACAGGGCAGGAAGCAGGAGCAGCAGGAAGAGAGGGCAGCTGGAGAGCCAGGCCTGAAGGCTGCCCTGGGACATCCAGACAGGCCCCCAACCCAGCTCAAAGGCCCAATTCTCAACCCTGAGCAATCAAAAGGCATGGGACCGGGCAGGAGACCGCTGGCCCACAGTGTTGCCCAATAGGCTTCAGGGTTGGACCACAGGTGGGAGGAAGGGCTGGCGGGGAGAGTAAGAGCAGGGTGCACTCACCTTCTTCATGGGGATGGGGGGCGGTTTGGTGCGTGGCTTCTGGACTTGGGGGGCAGGGTTGCTCTGCTCGTCCCGCATGGCGAGGATGGAGGAGGAGTGTACCATAGTCAGGTGGGGGGTCAGTCCGCTGTGCAGGCAGCTGCAGATGTACTGAGATGGGGGCACAGGGTGAGCGGCTCCAACTGTTCCCTGGCCCACTGGCTACCTGGGGACCTGCCCCACCCCCCCACGCTGACCACTCATGCCAGGCCTTCTGGGGTGGGATCTCTCCTCTGGCCCTTCCTGTCTCCGCCTACCTCCCTTGCTCATGAGGAGAGCCAGTCCAGTGTGGGGACACTCTCACTGTGACCCCCAAGGTCTGCCTTGCTGGGCTCAAGAGGGGCTGAGGAGCAGCTCCCCCACCCCACCCTCCACTCTGGCAAGGGCTGCGGGAGCCCAGGAATCCCTCCCGGCGCCCAGCCCTCACCTGGAACTGGCAGAGGGGGTAGCTGCCGTACAGGTACTCGTGCTTGCCGTTCACCTGCAGCGTGTAGTCCTCAGGCTGCTCCACCAGCGGCTGCCGGAACACCGTGGCCTTCTTTCGGAGGGCGCAGGCCATCAGTGCCAAGGGCACATCCTTGGTGGACACCTGGAAGGTGAAGCTCTCCTAGGAGGAGGAGAGAGGGTCAGCCGTCCACACCTGCAGGGAGCTCACGGGGCACAGGGGCGCACGCGGGGTGGGGGGCAGTGTGTGTGGCCCATCTGCATGTATTAGGCACACCCTACCCCCCAACTGTAAGCTCTGTGAGGGCAGCCTCTGATGACGGCACGTGGCCAACATCAGGAAATATCTGTTGGGTACATGAGCAGACCGAGGACCAAAGCCATCTGGTCACTCTGCCTCTTGCAATTCGCCTGGTGGGACGTTTGGCTGACCCCTCCAGTGCAATAGATACCCCACAAATACCACGCAATGTTGTTGGAAAGAGGGTGGGTCTGGAAGGCTGGTGGGGGACTGGGAGTCTCGTAGGGGGACTGGGCAGCCTGCCTGCAGCACACCGGGCAGGCAGGAGCCTCAGCTCACCTCGCTGCCCTCAAACTTGACATTGACCAGGAGGGCCCGATTGGGGACGCGCAGGGTGCCCGGCCCCCAGCTCCGCGCTGAGGGCTCCAACTGCAGAGGGAAGCTGTATTGCAGCCAGGCCTCCCAGCCCAGCTGCTGCCTGCGGGCAGCCGCCTCCTCGCAGAACTGGCGCATCTTGCCTCGGAAGTCATTCACCTCCGGGTCTTGCAAAGAGTCAAACTCGTGGAGGCCTGAGAGGTGAGGGAGCCAGGTCAGCGCCAGGATGAGGGGCGGGGTGGGGCCGGGGGGACAGGGGCAGGCCCGGCCGAGGGAGGACCGCCCGGCCCCAGCAGGGCACCTTTGCCGATGAGCAGGCTGATCTGCGAGTTGATGAGCTTCTTCACACGGTCACCCTCGCGGGCCACCAGCCTCAGGACGGGCAGGAAGGGCTGGATGTCACAGAGCCGCCGCTGCTCGTCCTCCAGCTCCTGCTGCTCCGCCGTCTGGTTGACGCAGGTGAACACGTAGGCCTCAGGGTCACTGAGCATGTGGAAGAGCGGCTCGTACTGGGCACGGTGCCATAACACCTGGGAGGACAGTGGCCGGTCAGCCCCGTCCCTAAGGTGGGCGGGGCCGTGGGCGGGGCCACAGGGAGCCCAGGGCTGGTGGGCTGACAAGTGGGGGCAAAGGCAAGGTCCCAGGACCACTACCCTCTCCACACCTCGATCACTGACCACAGGGTTAGGGTCCACTGGGTCATTAGGAGTCGCCGATCCTGCCCTTCTATGAAGGGGGCCAGGTAGGTGCTAACATCTGGAGCTGAGAGCGGGTCCTCTGGTCTCCCCTAGGCTACGCTGAGAGATGGCCAGCCCGACATGACCTCCAGGCACCCAGCTAATCGCTCTGGAGCTCATCACCCTGATCTTTCAACTCTGGCCTCTAAGTCAGAAAAGTTTAACACAACGAGGGGACCCTAAACGCTTCTGCATGGAGGTGTCCCCAGGGCGTCGTTTTAGTGCAAAGGCGCTCACCGCTGAGTTACAGAAAATATGGAAAAGGGGAAAACGGCCCTATTTTTCTTCCAGGGGGTTTGGATAATTATGTTCCATCAATGTAAAGGGACAGGTGTGAATGGAACATAAGGATACCTGTACCAAGGGCAAACAGGACTCCAAGATACAGCATTCAGTGGGGAGAAACCCCAAGCTGTAGAACAGTGAATGTCATTCAACCCCATTCCCATAAAAACAATAAAAAATGTAATTATTACTACTAAAATAATAATTTTAATATTATTAAAATAAAATAAATAATAATTTTATTATTCCCATAAAACAATTAATGAGTGTATTAGAGTAATTAATAATTACTGTAGACCAGGACTTGGCAAGCTACTGTTTGCCAGGTTATTGGAAGACAGCCACTCTGGTTCACTCACACGCCATCTATGGCTGCTGCCACTCCAGACAGAAGACCTGAGTAGTCGAGACAAACACCATATGGCCAGCAAAGCCCAGGATATTTACTATCTGGTCCCTGGTATAAATAAAAATATTAAGAAACTGAAATTGAATTGGGATATGAGGTGAGACTGCAGGGACTGATGTTTTAGATTTCTGTGGTGCTGGAATTTTACTAATGTGTCTGCAGTACTGGAATTTTAATAATATGCATGTATAGCTCTGTAAGCAGAAAAATATGATTCACTTTAAAATGATATTTACATAAGGTTAATAACATGAAAAAGATGTTATAATGTTAACGCAGAAAAAGAATATAAAAATTCATAAAGAGAATATGAATCACAAATCACAAAAAAACACTATATAGAAAAGAAAACAGGAAATAGCTAAAGTGTTAACTGTGGTTGTCTCATATGGCTGGATCATGGGTAATTCTTTTCCTTCTAACTTTTTCTTATTCTGCTAAATTTCAGTGTGTCCATATACTTTTGAAAAGGAAAAAAAGAAATTTAATTTTTAAAGAAACACCCAGAGGGACTTCCTTGGTGGTCCAGGGGCTAAGACTCCATGCTCCCAATGCAGGGGGCCCAGGTTCCATCCCTGGTCAGGGAACTAGAGCCTGCATGCCGCAACTAAGAGCCAGTATTAAAAAAAAAGAAAGAAAGAAACACCCAGGAAGGGAAGGTTTAAAAAAATAAAACAAAACTCAAGGATGGTTCATTGCATCTCTCCTTTTTTTTTTTGCTCCCCAGTGTTTTCAAATCCGGGGCTAAGGCCTTGTCCTCTGACATCCGTGAAGTCCCACCCTTTGAAAGTGGGATAAGCCCTTGAAAAGGTCACAAGACACTATCTACCAAATACCATCCAGATGTTTTATCCTTTGACCCAGCAATCCACCATGAAAATGATTCAATAAAGCCAAAAACTATTTCCAAAGATGCTGTTGACTTGACAACAGCTCTGAAGACAAAAGACCAGTGAAACTCTTAAGTGGCCATGGATGGGCTGTGGTTTCAAACATGAGGGCAGAGTCATGGAGAGAATGAAAGGCCCCCCTGGGAACCAGCACCCTGGAGCTTTCACGAGAATCTAGGGAGGGACAACATGGCAGCCCACTGTGGTATTCTTGCCTGAGAAATCCCAGGGACAGAGGAGCCTGTTGGCCCCCAGTCCTTGGGTGCCGTTAAGAGTCAGATACGACTGAGCACGCATGCACGCAACATGCAATGATAAGGGCAGGGGCTGAATTTGGAAACAGGTAGATTCTAACTGCAGGTTTTAAAGAATTCTTGCACATTATTTTTATCTTTTAATTTTTTTTTCGGCCACACTTTGAGGCTTGCAGGATCTGAGCCCAGGCCCCAGACAGAGAAAGTTCGGAGTCCTAGCCACTGGACCTCAAGGGAATTCCCATGTCTTTTAAAATTCATAGCAGAGGATCTCAAATCTCAAACTGCGAGACTTTTTCTGTCTCTCTGAGTTCCAAGCTCTGAGGACTAGTTTTAAGGTCAAGATCGTACCTTCTTGATAGTGCTGAGGTTGGCATTTCGGGACACAGGGAAGTTCAGATAGACCCCTGTGGGCAGCAAGAAATCAACTGCCACGTTCTGATTCTCCTCCTTGGTCCAGAATTCCATGGGGCAGTCAACCCCGGGGGGCATCCTGCTTTTTCACTTCTCAGATACCAGTCGTCCTGCAAAGGAAGCGAAGCGTTGTGAGGCTCTCAGGTGTGCTGAGTGAGTCCTTTAAAAGGACCCTTTGAAAACATGAAGTCAGGACCTCTGCCAGCAGGAGGCTCTGGATGGAGTCCCAGCCAGGAGGTGGCCTTTGGCTCCTGCGGCCCCAGGTCACTGTCTAGGCTGAGTGGCCTCTCATCACAGGCAGGCACTGTGTCTGCCTCCCTCACGGCAGTGCCTCCAGTTTAAGACACCAACAGGACTTCCTGGAGTAGGAAATGGAAACCCAGTCCAGTATTCTTGCCTGGAGAATCCCATGAACAGAGGAGCCTGGCAGGCTACAGTCCATAGGGTTTCGAAGAGTCAGACACAACTGAGCAGGTACACAGGACTTCCCTGGTGGCCCAGAGGTTAAGAACTGCCTGCCAGTAGAGGGGACATGGGTTCGATCCCTGGTCTGGGAAAAATCCCATATGCTGCATGGCAGCTGAGCCCATGTGCCTCACCTACTGAGCCCATGCACTCTAGAGCCTGTGCTCTCCAATAAGAGAAGCCACTGTGATGAGAAGCCTGTGCACTGCCCCCGCTCTCTGCAACAAATTGAGAAAACCTGTGTGCAGCAAGGAAAAACCCAGCACAGCCCAAAACAAACAAATAAATAAAAATTATGAAAAGACACCAACAAAGCCATGCCAAATCATTTTTCTCAAGAACACATACATGGGAGACCTCGCCATGGCTGCTAGCCGGCAAAGATGGAAAATGGCAGGATCACTGGGCAGACAACCCTGGATTTGAGAAGGACCGAAGACTAAAGTTCTTTGAAATTTTACAACCAGAAACCAGACCAGAAACCAAGCAGCTTTGACCATCAAACAAGTTGTTGCAATATCTTGAAGTGAAGTGAAAATTGCTCAGTTACGGTTGATTCTTTGCGACCCCATGGACCGTAGCCCACCAGACTCCTCTGTCCATGGAATTCTCCAGGCAAGAATACTGGAGTGGGTTGCCATTTCCTTCTCCAGGGATCTTCCTGATCCAGGGATCAAATCCAGGTCTCCCGCTTTGCAGGCAGATTCTTTACTATTTGAGCTACTCGGGAAACCATACCAAACTCCCTCTCCAGCAAGTAACAAAATGTTACAGACACAATTAGAGGTCTCTGAGTCTCTACCCTGATCTGGTTACCACCACCTGGATTCTGGTTGTTTACAGTTTCCATGCATGTTTTTATCCTTTTATTAGACTAAAATGTATCCACAAATGAGTCCTAATATTTTCCATGCTTTCCAAGCATTGTATGATTAGTGAGCCTTCTGCACCTTGCTTTTGCCACCCAGCATTGCAACCTAGATTTCTGCATGCTGATACAAGTAACTCTAGTTCATTCATTTTAACTCCTGGGTGATTTTTCACTGTGTAAATAAACCACAATTTATTTCCTCCCCCCTTCTTTTGTTAAGGAACTTCAAGGTTTGTGTCTATTTATTTGGTTATTACATATTATGCTACAATGTATATTCTTGCACACATCTCCTTGTGTACAAGTGAGAGTCTTGGTGAATGTTCTCTAAGAAAAATATAATTTGAGCTACATGTGTAATGTAAAAGTTACTTTTTAAAAAAGTAAAAAGACACAAATAAACTTAAGCTAGTAATCTATTTTATTTAATCCACTATATCAAAACTATGGGGCTTTCCAGGTGGCACCATTGGTAAAGAATCCACTTGCCAGTATAGGAGACACAAGAGACATGGGTTCCATCCCTGGGTTGGGAAGAGCCCCTGGAGGAGGAAATGGCAACCTGCTCCAGTATTCTTGCCTAGAAAATTCCATGGACAGAGGAGTCCATGGGGTCGCAAAGGGTCAGACACGATTGAGTGACTGATTATGCATGCATCCAAACTATGGTCATTTCAATGTTATCAGTATAGAAAAATTACTAAGATAGTTTACCTTTCTTTGGTATTAAGTGTTTGAAATCTGGAGTGTATTTTACACTCACAGCACAATTTGGACAGTAGGTTTTCATAAGAAATATTTCATCTGTATGCATATTTCATGCAACTTACAGGTTAAAACTCCACCTGCAATGCGGGAGACCTGGGTTTGATCCCCGGGTTGGGAAGATCTCCTGGAGAGGGGAATAGCTACCCACTCCAGTATTCTGGCCTGGAGAATTCCATGGACTGTATAGTCCATGGGGTTGCAAAGAGTTGGACACGACTGAGCAACTTGCACTTTCACAGGTTAAAAAAGTAGGCTCATTGACTCAAGTTGTTCCAAGTATACTTAAGTTTTTCAATAACTGAATCAAGTATGAATTCTTACATTTAAATGAATTAAATAAAATGTTTAAAAATTCCATTCCTGACTTACACTCTCCACATTTCAAATGTTCAAGAAAGACACGTGGCTGGTGGCTGCCATATTGTATAGCACAGGTAATGGGTAGATGCCCAAGAGGGGAATTGTCAGATCATAAGTATAATCTATGACAAGGGGTAACCACATCTTTAACTTTGTAATCTCCATATCTTAGTTAGCACTTGGCATTGTTCAATTTTCTCATTTCTGACAAGCTGGTGGGCACAAAATGCTCTCTTGTTTTAATTTGCATTTCTCTAATTATCCATAAAATGTTTACCTTCTGCAAATAACAGGCTTATAAACGTTTCCCTTTTTTGTCTGTTGCTATTGTTGTTCATTAGAAAAGACCCTGATGCTGGAAAAGATTGAGGGCAAGAGGAGAAGGGGACGACAGAGGATGAGATGGTTAGATAGCATCACTGACTCAATGGACATGAGTTTGAGCAAACTCCAGGAGATAGTGAAGGACAGGGAAGCCTGGAGTGCTGCAGTTCATGGGACTGGACACGATTTAGCAACTGAGCAACAAATTGTTGTTTAGTACCTAAGTTGTATCTGACTCTTTTGTGACCCTATGGACTGTAACCTGCCAGGATCCTCTGTCCAGCGGTTTCACAGGCAAGAACAGAGGAGGGGGTTGCCATTTCCTTCTTCAGAGGATCTTCCTGACCCAGGGATCGAACCCGCGTCTCCTGCATTGGCAGGAGGATTCTTTACAGTCTGAACCACCAGGGAAGCCCTGGGGTTGTCTTCTGCTTACTGGTTTGTAGGGTTTCTTTCTATTCTTTAGATTCAGTTCTTTAATTGCTTGAATGGGTTGAGAATATCTTCTAATTTGAGTCATCTTTTCATTTTACTTATGTGTCTTTTTAAGGAGTAGAAGTTTTGCATGTTGATGTAGTCAAATCTTTTTCCTTTATGTTTTATAAATTTTATCCTTTAAACAAATACTTCCTTACCCTAAGGTCACATCCGCTGAGATTGAAATGACTTTAAAAATAGCTGCAAGGAAATGCTTAGTTTGAGAGAGATGTTCTTCTGGGGGCTCTGCCACTGGGGCCCAGGCCTCACTCTTGGTTAGATGTAGAAGCTGCCCTGAGCAGCAGGACCAAGCGTGCGCTACCATGTCACCACTGTTGGGATCCACTTCCTCTGATTGTAAAACCACATCCTACTCTGGGTTCCTCTTTCTGAGAATGGCCAGGCCAAAGGCGTTTTTTTTTTTTTTTTTTTTTTAATTATTCAAAATGTGGAGGATCATCAGAAATTCTGGAAAAATCCATTTACAATGGTTTGGCTGAGCTTTGGAAGTCAGGAGCATTTTTGACCACTCGATCCTGAGGTTGAGATGAGCACCTGGGGCTGGAGCTCCCCAGGACTCTAGCCAGAGAGATGGATGGGGCTCTGGGACACAGGTATCCCTCGCTCCCCTGCCCTCAGCGCCGTGGGAAGCCTTCAACGACCCCCATCCCTGCGGGATTCAGGGAAACCCTTTGATATTGAAAAACTAGTTTCTGGGCTTCCCTGATGGGCCAGGGGCTGAGAATCCACCCTGCAGTGCAGGGGATACAGGTTCGATCCCTGGTCCGGGAAGATCCCACACGCCTCGGGGGAACGGAGCCTGTGCTCTAGAGCCTGGGGGCCACAACAGCTGAGGCTGTGCACTGCAACGGCTGGAGCCTGCGTGCCCGAGAGCACACGCTCTGCCACAAGAGAAGCCATCGCAGTGAAAAACCCGTGCACCGCAACTAGAGAAAGCCCTCGCACAGCAACAAAGACCCAGCACAACCAAAAATCGGTCAGTCAATATTTAAAAACAGAATGACTCACTCCTAGAAGAGGAAGACTCGTGATGGTGTGGGCAGGACAGAATCAAATGCCAGAGGGGACAGGAGAAAGATGGGGATTCTCTCCTCTTCTGTGGGCCCAGGACCCAGGGTGAGGTTACTAACAAGCCCCATTCTTTGTGAAGCCCAGACCCATCACTCTCAGTATAGATATGGGACTCAGATGCCAGCTAATTCAGAGACTCTAGAACTGCTCCGAGAATGCGGATTGGCACAACCACTTTGGAAAACTGTTTCACAGTATCTATTAAAGCTGAACACATATGCCCTGTGTGTGTGTGTGTGTGTGTGTGTGTGTGTGTAGTTGCTCTGTCGTATCCAACTCTTTGCGACCCCATGGACTGTAGCCCGCCAGGCTCCTCTGTCCATAGGATTTTCCAGGCAAGGATATAGGAGTGGGTTGCCATTTCCTTCTCCAGGGCATCTTCTGGACCCAGAGATCGAACTGGAGTCTCCTGCATTTTTGGCGGATGCTTTACTATCTGAGCTTCTAGAGAAGCCCAAACACATATGCCCTATGACCCAGCAATTAATTCCATGCCAAGGTACACGCTCACCAGAAATGCTAGCACATGTGTGCCAGAAGACGCCCCAAAGAGTATATATAGCACTGCTACTCATAACAGTCCCCAAACGGAAACATGCCACGTGCTCATCAGTAGTAGAATGGAAAATACTACTTCTTCTCCCCATGAAATTCATATAGCGGTTTCTTCTCCCCATGGAATTTGTATAGCAATGAGAGTGGATGATCTATAAATTCAACA